GCCTGAAATACCCACTTCTGAACCCACGGTCCCCGAGGTTGAGGAACCAGCCGTTGAAGAATCACCTGACTCTACGTCCGTCATCGAAGAGAAGACCCCTGAAGAGCCAATTACTGATATTTCAGAGTCTGTAGGCGGGGAGGAAATCAACGAGAAGGAAGAGAAGACTGAGGCCCTTGCTAGTGCTGCAGAGCCTACCCCAGCTACAGAACCTGCTCCGGCAGTGGAGCCAGCTTCATCTACAGAACTTGCTCCAGTTTCAGAAACTGTTACGGCTATCGAACCAGCTCTCAAGGCTGTAACTCCTGTCGGCGCTCCAGGATTGAAGCCCAAGTCTGTTTCTCAACCTCGTCGCTTGAATCAGGATGCTCCTGTAGTTATGCCTAGTGGGTCGTCAGCATTGCAAAGCGTTGGCGTTAAATTCGGCAGCTTCTCCTTGAACGATGATACGGAACCTGAGCCTAAGACTTCCCCTACTCAGCCTATTCAACCTGCTCAACCTGAGCAACCTACTCAGCAGACCGCCTCTGCCAATGCCCAGACCACACCTCAGCCCCAACAAGCCCAGCAACAGCCTCAGCAACAATTCCAGCAAACCCAACAGCAGCCTCAGCAGCAACAGCAACCTCATCAACAGCCTGCTGCCTATGGTCGCCAGCCTAACGTTCCTTCAGGAGCTTCTGGATACCAAGGAATCACTCCTGCTGTTGGCGGTCTCTCACCTGCTGCTACTAATGTATCATACTTGAAGGATCCTAGTGCCACCTACCTTGGCCAACATCATCACCATCCTATGGGTCATGACGCTATGGGATCACCCTATGGCTCATACATGCCTAATCCTGCTAGCCAGCTTGGCTCCTTTGGTATGGGACCAATGGCATCACTTCCTAATGACTATGCTGCGATTTATAGCAATGACCTTCAGAGGGCCATGTACTACGATCCGAGCTATGGCCAGATCCCAGTGACAGCAGCTAACAATTACCAGTCACGCGACTCCAAATACAATCAAGAGTCAACCTCTACTGTTAGCAGTACTGGAGCACCTAACTCTGGTAGCACCCAGGCTCAACAATCTCTCCAGCAACAACAGCAACAGCAACAAGCTTATCCTAGCATGCCTTACTATCCTTATTACTACATGGCTCCTAATCAGTTCCCTAACTACCAACAGTCAGGATATGGCCAACCTTTTGTTAATAAGAATATGTACCCCATGTATCAGCACCAGCAGCAGCAACAACACACCAACAAGCCTGGCGCAACTAATAGTTCTCCCTATGGGAATTACGGTTCAACTGCCGGTCAGGGACACCACCAATACTCTCAAGCTGGATATGAGGACATGTCTGGTGCTGGCGTTCATGGCATGGGTGGTCTTAATGATCCTTATGCCAAGTACGTCAATCCTGGTATGCAGAATTTTTTGAGCAATCAGCAGCAGCAGCAGCCTGGCACACCTACATCTAATGCCAACAGCACCAAGAGCAATGCCTCTAATAACTATGGCTCTGGATCGGACAAAAATGCAATCGCTGGATCTCAGTCATCGAACGCTGGGCAAATGGCTAGTGGCACTTCGCTCCAAGGCCAGCCTGGTCCTGGTAATGCTAATCAGAATCAGCAAGGTTATTACCAGCAACAAATGTTTTCAAACTATCAGTATCCTAGCCATCACCAAAGCTATCATCCCAATCAGCATCAGGGACAGCATCAGGGGACTGGTCGAAATCAACAGCAGTTCTGGGGGTCACAAAACTGAAAGCAAAAGAGAATAAAAAAAGAAAAAAGAAAAAAGAGGATGCTCGAGGGAGAGATGAAAAAGAAATGATTTTAATGAGAGAAGGAAACTTACAGTTCTTTTACCCGTCCCTTCCCATTCCTTTTTTTGTTCTATTATCTTTTTCTGTTAGTTTTTTAGTACAATTGGTTTACTTTTATCATGCCTTGCTTTTATTTCGATTTTTAGTTGTTTTTGATAATGCCATGTTTGTATGTTTTCTTTTCGGTATTGTATATTGTTGACATTGATAATAAAATGAAAGATGAAAGATAAAAGTTCTTGTAAATCTTACAGCGGAGCATGAAATTGTAAGAAATAAAGTAAAAAGAAAAATAAGAAAAAGATATAGAGATGGTTTATGCTGATGTGCTTGCTTCACCCTTCTCTTTCAAAAGCTCTTCATCAGTCCGCTTCCTGGCCACCACTTCTGCATCTTTCATACTAGCTTCGATGCCACTTTCATGCTCAGCTACAGTATCTTTGCCGACTTTGACACCTAGAGCTTCCACAGCTGGGGCAAGCTTACCAATCAAATTGTCATCCTCGAGCGTCTTTTCTTGCTCCCAAGTGCTTGAATCCGTATTGGAAATAGATGCATCAGAAGCAGGAGAAGCAGAGGAAGCAGAGGAAGCAGAAGCGGAATAGGAGGCATGGAGTGCATACTGTTCATAAGAATCGTGATACTGATAACAGTCGTAATCCCATGTTGATAATAATTTTGATGATAAACACTCGGACTGTGTCCATTCGGAACCATACACCAATGGTGCACGCGTACGGAATACAGAGATCGCAATAGAGGCGATTAAGATAAGCGCAATGATACGGAACCGATTAGGGATGAATCTGCAAGCGAGATCGAACGTGATGCTGAAGAGTAAAATTGCAAAATAAAGGGCAGGCAGGTAATGATGCAAAAACAACTGGCGGCCCATCAGGAAGAACGGGAGGTAATGATATGCCCATGCCATGAAGAAGAATCCTCCAGACAATTCGTAATATTCACGGAGGCCTATGAAAGAATCAAATTAGAATATGTACAAAAATCAATACCAAAAAAAAAAAAAAAAAAAAAAACTTTACCTCTAAAATCGTCCTTATAACCGCGCTTATCGCGAACGAACAATAGAACACGAGTGAGAACATACAGTAGAATTGAGGCGGTTGACAGATACCAAGTGAACCAGTTCCCGATTAGGTAAACATGTTTGTTATTCTTTCCCCAAAAGCTGATGCCACGCTTTAAAAGTGGCCAGGAGTGAGGACGAGAATCGTATGGATGCGAGTCAGTCAATCCAGCATTGGTTGTCCACATGACTTTATTTAGTTCCAAGAACTTGCCAATGAAACCAGGCTTCTTATAGTTCACCAAAGGCGCATCCTCGGGATCTATTCATCAACGGAGGCAGAGGAATAAAAAATATTTAGCATAACGATAGGATGATGTATATATAGTACATAACAAATTAACATCAGCTGGAGAGATGAATATACTTACACTCTGAATAAGAATTAGACTCAACTATCCAAGTTGTTTTTGATAAGACAGCACTACGCATACAAGTCACTTCTTGTTGCTCAAAAGCCCACTTTGGGAGTTTAACTTTATGCGAAAAAAGATCGCAATTCATATTGACATGGACTAGCTTGAACCTGGATCGCACTGTGTGTAGGTTTTCCCCTGCTTTGGCGTCTGAACCATCATACCCTACAATCTCAAGGCGCCATTCATCATTGGCATCTCCAGGGAAATCCTTGAACCCATATCCACTGACTTCAAAATGATTCTCATTCTCAGTAACAGGCGCCTTGTGGTCGTGCGAGTGGAGACGCTTATGTGTCTGGGCATGGAGTAAGCGGACATAGTCCCCATTCTTGATGTATTCGAGGCTTTCAGGGATTGTCCCATCTCGCTTTTGGATGATCCAGTCATTGTTATTATCCTTATGAGGATAAAGAGTAATCTGTTGTTCTGTAATATCATAGTTAAAAAAAAAAAAAAAAAAAAAAAAAAAAAGGTTTAAGGGGCATAGCTAAATGAACTCATTCTTTTATCTGATAAAAATTAAACATACGCTTGCTTCCGGTTTCGTAGTTGGAGGTATGAGAGTGCAAATAGCCTCCTTGTGTGCCCTGGTGGCGGATCGTAACAGTTGCGCCATATGCTACGGCTATCAGTAGACAAATCCATAAACCGTGTTGATATTTAGATGACACAAGATTAATAAATAAAAGGCTTACTGCCGCACATGATAGTCGTGATCCTCCGATCTCAAAACACCAAGTTTCGGAAATGCTTACAGAGAGGTGAATCTTTTAGTGAATAACCTAGTGTCATCTGAAAGGGTGCGCTCATAAATCCATCGCCATCGCCACTCGATTGAAGAAGCAAGAAATGGATCTCAAACATCAACATGTAAACACTGATGGGTACTACAATCAGGCAGACTGCGCGTGCCAAGAAGTGGTTCAACCAAGTACGAGGGGGAATTCTGAGATCACCCCAAAGTAACCAGAGCTGATTGATAGTTGATGTTCCGATGGTAGCGATGATAAAGAGACCGACCCATTTAACACTTCCTGATAGCCCTAGCCCCACGCCAGTTAAGAAAAGCCAGACAAACCAATCATCGGAAAAGGGATCGTGACGTTGATTGTGAAAATTGACCCAGGCAAGGACAGTGAAGGCGGTGAAGAGAATCAAAGGGGAATCCAGCAGGATAAATCGACTCTGTGTGGCCAGGCTGTTCTCTGGATGAAGTTATTAAAAGCCTTCCCTGTGTTAATAATAGCCATCAAAGACGTTTAGAAAAGAATTAAATGAATTTTTTTTTTGTGTGTTACCAAAGAGAACTAAGAGAGCAGCGAGAGTGGAGGCATGAAGAGAATGACCTGAATTCCTGACAGTATAAAAGGCAATAGGGACCACTGCTACGCCCATGAGGCCACACATTACTCTCATTGGAATATATGGCACCTTTGGTTCGATATAATCCCTGATAAACCATATCAAAAACACAATCAGTGATGAAAATTGTTTTTAAGATCATGAACAGTTCAATTCGAGCTGATAAGGTAAAAGATAAAACTGACGTGGCAAGAACTAAGAAGTTGCTGAAATAAAAAAAGCTTACATTCCAATCTCTTTAAAATCAAAAGAGGGATTCAGTCCGAAGAGCCAGCCCGTTAATGCGATCAACATCTTTGCCAGTGGTGGATGCACGTCCATGAAAAAGCGACCCCTGATGTATTTAGATGCAAATCCTCCAAAATGAACTTCATCGAAGCTATCAAAGAATAGCATCCATTGGGAACAATTAATAGTCAAATAGATAACTATCCCATTCAAAAGTTAACCTCATGACGAAGAAAGAAAAAAAAAAAAAAAAAAAAGACTTACACAACCGAGGTTGGGTAGCCAATGGCCCAAAGTCTTACTATCAATGCCAACGCAGTGATAGCAAGAACGATCTGCAACTCCCGACTCTGGTACCATGGAAGACTACGCCTGCTTCTAAACCTTGCGAAATGACTATGATCCTCCTCCTCTGTGTAAGAATGACCTGGGCTTCTGCTGCGTTTTTCATCGAGGCCAGGTCTCTCCATATGAGTTTCTGTCATGACCTCATTATTGTTTGTGGAGGTGGCTTCACCCAGAATACCTCTGGAGATTGTTCTGCTTCGCACTTCTTTCTGAACTGACACACCTGTCTGATCTACTGAAGAACCGGTGCCGTTCTCCATGATGACTTTTTTTTTGTTGTTACTATTGAATGCAGTGATGGGTTCAGAGATGAGCCTTTGTTGATGCTACAAGGTTGTCTTTTATATCTTCCAGAAGCTGAGTTTGCGAATAGAGAAAGATGAGAAGAACAATGAGATGTGAAAGACGTCTTTTTTTTATTGTATTATTAGCCTGTTCTCTGTTCTAATTGCCATCATTGTCAATCCGATTTTTGTTACAGGCTCACGATCAATTATTTCAAACGCTCACTTGCACAGTCTCACTTTCTCACCCTCTTTTTTTAGCCCTCATCGCCCTTCACGCGTTCGATTCTCACTGTTATCCTTGCTCTCTTCTCTATCTTACCCTTCTTCTTTCAAAGGCAATGAGTCAATGAGCATGAGTCAAATGGATTGCCTTTTTTTTAAAGTGCTATGAGGAATTGATTCATTTCAAATTCCTAAATGGGTCGAATGAGGCAAAAGGTGATAGCCCTTCAGTACCTGCAGTACGGACTCAGGAACCACTTGTGATCTAGGGGCAGCCTATTTACCTACACCCGACCGACGCTATTGGTACTGCTCGGATTAGGTAATAGAAGTAACAGTAATAGATAGCCTGGTTCTCTCGCCTTAATCAATTGACTTTTATCCGAACATCCGTACTCTCGCGTCACCAAAAGCTCTGGATCGGCATTTTCACTAGGTATTCCCTTTTATTTCTTTTGGCGACATAATAACGACCCATTTCACAGCAAAAGCGAATCGCATCCTGCTTGTCTAATAAGGTAAAATCCTCCAAGAGGAGAAGGAGACAGACGACGCTACAGCTGATATATTGAGTGATCCAACCTCTATACCGTTAATTACATGCATGAGTCAGGTCCAATGTGTGAGAAGATTATAAATGCAAGCATCTGATAAGAATTATTCATGAGTATACTTCATTAAGATGTATATACCATGTGTTCTCGAAGAGGCATCAAGTTACCCTTAGTGCTATAGGCAAAAGAGCTCGTTCAAATCCAATTGCACCATGATCTACGATACTGTCCATGCTTACAAGGAAGAATATGAAAATAAAATTATGGAGAGTGATTCAACAAGCAATGAACAAAAGTTAAGTATACCAGCATTCTCACACACCCATGTTCACCAACATTAAACTCAAGCAACTTTTGATACTTAGCAGACAAGGCCTTCGCGGCATTATCGATCAAGTATTTATACTTATCGTTTTTGGTTTCTTCACGTCAATGCCCAGTCTTTTGCCTCTTTCTCTCCTTCCTTGACACAAGAGACCTTGCTATGGCGGGAAGGGCCTAAGGCCATAAACTGCCTAGCTTCACGGTTGAGAACGTCAATCCTCAGCCTATTATTTTGCTATGGATTTTGCAATGGCGCTGAGCTTGCTTTGAATTGGTCGCTATGGTTTATTGATTATAAAATTAAGAGTTAAAAAAATTAAAAAGAAACTCCGTTTGCTTAGCTACTTGCAAAGTCGACGGATCAATGCGAAAGCCCTGTATAAAGGAATCAATTAAAGTATTAGCATTTATGTGTATTTCAAATGTTTAATAAAGCAGTGGCTAAAGGTTTTCATTTAAAGGACGTTTTCGAAATCGTCGTCGCTAACTTGGATGTAGAGTTTTTAAATTAATTGGTTGGCTGAAAGAACAAACCCAACTTGTTTACTTTGTTTGGGCACGGACCATACTCAATCGCGTGCATGAATGCAGTATGGCAACGATGCCGAAGGACGCTTTAGGTGGAGCTAAATCTGGAGCGCTTTGGACACTATGCTATGTGGTGTGTCAAAATGCCTAAGGTAGGCGAAGAACGCACGGAGCTTAGCTCAATAGAGTATCATAATCAACAGCATGAAAAAGCCGGGCGCAAACTAACAGACCCTAAACCCAACAGGCATCTAAGGATGTTCAAGACGCCAAAGTCGAAGATCCGTTTGCTAAGTACAGGTATGAACCTGAATAGAAGGCTGTATGATCGTTACACAGCACCTCTAGGGCTAGAGCTGCAAACAAAGGCTTGGGCGTGGCCAAGCACTTCACGACGAATATCGTTATTTTTGGCGGCAATGTTGTGCACACAATTATTTTTTTTTTCAGTCTTAACTTGACTAAAACTGACATGAACTTGATAGCTCTTTTCCTTGGCTTTATAGCCCTACTCAAACCCATGCAATATCAAGCATTGGCAAATTGTCGCCATCGTTCTACATCATCGTTTGCCGTTGATCCTAACAGCTTTGACTCATTTTTCAACGAGAATACTATGATCCTACTTCTAAAGAAAGACATCCTCCTCTCACTCAGTCCTAACAAGAACAGCACCTCCGCAATAAATTTATTCAAAGGAGACTCTACGGTACTTTTGGAATAGGGTATATCGCTCATACTACGTGCACATCCCTCACCTGAGAGCTTGTTTAAGCGATGACGGGCTGGAGAGAACCACCCTTCAGTGTTCTAGGTTGTTCGCACATACAAACGTGTTCTGAGCCTGTGTATTGACATGCATCAATGAAATACATTACGTTTTTTAGGCTTGAGGGCTCCAATATGCGATATCATGAATAATCCTTTGGGTGAATGCAATGATGCAGGCTGGGATGAAAGAAGCATAATTTGAATTCCTTAACACCCTATGGAGCTTGTTAGCCCCCTCTTCACGAGTATTTTTTGCCCTTTGCTCATTCTATGCTGCCTGTGGTCATCTCATGTGTACATGAAATTTAAAGCATTCTAGTCTACATCTTCCATTAACTGTTATATCAAGTTTATTCTTATGGTGACTTGGATCCTTCTTCAGCAAAACCACTTTGCACTCAATGTGTGTACCATGAAAATATATGAAATAATTTGCTTCCCGTTCTTGCATGGATTAAATTTCTTAGCTTTGCATGTGTTCCTTTACGGTTTGCTTTCCATGCTTTGAATCATTTCGCGGATACCTTGGACGACCAGAGCATGGTCCTCCGCCTGTTTGAGCCCACTGACAACAATCGCGCCTACACAGCCAACATTTCTGATCAGCAATGGGAATCCTCCGCCATGACAGGCATAGTCGACCATAGACACTTTATAGCTACGTTCCATGTCAGTTTCACCTTTGGCAGCAAGTGAACGACCGATATAGTATGACGAATGTTGTAGGCGAACCACTGTATTGGTTTTACGACGCATCCAGTTTTCATTATCAACAGATGTTCCTAATGATGATAATAATAATAAAAAAAATTAAAAAAAATATGATATATTTCAATCGTCAATGGCCCATATATCCTAGCAGCAATAAAACCCATTGACTGTATTATAACTTGATCAGGCAAAAGAGATAAATAGAGGGAGAAAAACTATTACCTGCCATAGCATGTTGGAAGAGAACTTGTCCGTTGCGAGTAATTGAGATAGTGACTCCTCCCTTGTTCCAAGCCTTAGCCAACTGAGTCAATCTATTTCCAAGAGTGAGGGCATCATCATTAGTGAACCTTGAGAACTGGAGTTCCTTCTCCTCAGCCAGAAGATCAGGGAGTAATGCAGCTGCTTCTTGTTGCTGTTCTTGTGAAAGAGACATAATGGTGAGATAAGAGAGAAAGAGAAAGATGTCGGGCGTGAGAAAATGGGGCTTTGACTTTGTTCGTGAGGAAAAAAAGGGTGAGCATTGGTCCAGGGAAAAAAAAAAAAAAAAAAAAAAAAAAAAATCATCTTGTCGTCATTCAGTTTTATTTTTATTATATATTTTATTAACAATTAGGATTAGGTTGATAAATATGTTACATGTGTATGATGGTATAAACAATTTTGCGTCCCATTGACATTGACATTGAGGGATCTCTGCAGAGTCCATGGATTGACCTTAAGCCATCATTAGGCCAGCAAAGAAAACGATAGCAAGAGCCACAGTTGATTTTACGCTCTTATCCTGAGAAGAGACAGCTCCGCTTGGCTTGTCAGTTGGCTGAAGTTGATATGTTCCTTTAGCGGTTGAGGTAGTCCGCTCGCTCTCTGTGATTGTGACGGTTGCAGTTGTAGTAGCTGTTGTGCTAAAAGTGGCAAGTGAAGATGAGGAAGAGGTCGACCATGAATCTGTAGAAGTGAGTGTCCGGGAGGAACCCCAGGAGCTGCTGGTAGATGTGCTACTCCATATGCTGCTGCTTCTGCTTCTAGACGGAGATGGAGGTGAAGAGCTGACTGGATCATCGTCTTCATCGCAGTTGCCATATTGGGATTGACATCCCTCTCCACAGTGTAGAGGGGAATAACCACAGAAATTCTATCAGTTGCAAGAAAAAAAAAAAAATAGCAGGTGTGAGTAACGCTTGGGTTCGAGACAGAGAGACAAGTGTAGAAGAGTAGTAGAAGCAGGTTTCTATACGTTTCTGGAGCAACAGGCAGAGTTTGGACAGTTGGGTGTTTCACTACCAGGGCCACAGCTTTGGGCTGCTACGAGTGTTAGTATCACAATGAGGTACAAGAGTAGCTGGTTGAATAAGTTGTTTGCCATGGCAGGATTGAATTGCTTGAATGAGGGACAACGATGAGAGTGCAAAAAAACAAAAAAAAAATAGAAAAAGAGAGCAGATACACCATTGAACGATCTGTTGCCAGAAATGACAACATGGGAATGTGTGTCCAGCAATCAGATATTGCAAGCATTTTTGTTATCTTGCTCAACTTGCGGGGCATGTACTCTAGGTTAAAATGAATACGCGATACAATTCACAATTCACTATTCACACACTTCATTCTCATCTTTTGTCTACACATCCTCATTATGCCAGTCTCCCATCAAAGTAACAAGGCCACCCTTTCCCACCCTTCTGGTGCATCTGCAGAAGTCTACCTCTTTGGTGCGACTCTTACATCGTGGAAAGTCTCCAACAAAGAGCGCATCTTCCTCAGGTAACATGGAGAAATCAACAAACAATGGTGTCGAAGTGATGCATCCAAGAACCTGTCTTTGCCTGTTGTCTTTATCATTTATAGATATTGCGCGATTACTTTAATAAAGTAAAATAAATAAATTTAAAATAGTGCCGAGGCAGTCCTAGACGAATCAAAGGCTATCCGTGGAGGGTAACGTCTACATGTTCTTGGTGTTGATGTTAGCTCTATATACATAATGAGATTATTGTCAAAAAGCAGGATGCATTTGGAAGAGAATATTTATAGTCTTTACCTTTTCAGGATCCCATTGGTCTTCCCTGTTTTTGGCAAAGGCAAAGCTCCTCATATCACTGCTTCGCTTCCCCAGCATGGTACGATCATCAAGAGAAAAAAAAGGAGGGTTTGACCTTTCCGAAATACAGAGGTATAAAAGCTGATCCATGAACTCATTTAATGCTTTGATGTTACTTAGGATTCGCAAGGATTTCACGCTGGAAGTTTGTCAATTCTTCAGATGATGACCAAACGGTTACTGCTCAGTTCGGTAATAATAAGAAAGAAGTATGTTGTTGGTTTCTCTGAATTGTATTCCAGTACTCACCCCCATTTTTTTTTTTTTTTTTTTTATATTTTAGGTTTGGATCACTCCATGATCTCTGATGAACACCGCAGTTTGTGGCCATTCGACTTCTCGCTGATCTACACTATCAAATTAACAGCAGATACAATTGAGACTCACCTCAAGGTCCATAATGTCGGTGACAAGCCTTTCGACTTTAACACTCTTCTACATACCTATTTCTTAATTCCTGTAAGCCATCACTCTTTTTTTTTTTTTTTTTTTTTTTTTTTTTTAAAAAAAAACCATGTTTGGAATTATTTATAAGCCCTATATTTTAAGATCTCCTTTATTCACACCCCATTATGACTAATCAATATATATAGGATGAATCTAAAGTCAGGGTCATTGGGTTGAATGGGGTTGACTATGCTGATAAGGTCCTGCAACAGTCCTCTCGCCAGGATGGTGAGGCTGTGATTCGTGGCGAAGTTGACAGAGTTTATGCAAATGTCAAATCGACCGATATTGACATCCATTACGGAGCTGATGAGCAGCAAAATGGGCGCGGTATCAAGTTGAGCAAGAATGGATTGAACGACATTGTAGTTTGGAACCCTTGGATCGAGAAATCAGCGGGTATGGCTGATTTTGGAGATGAGGAATATCATCGTATGATTTGCGTCGAAGCAGGCCAAGTTGCAGAGTTTATTGCCCTTGCTTCCGGGGACTCTTGGGAAGGAAGCCAAGTCTTAAGCCTTTTGTGAGCAGCATTGGATTGTCATATCAATAATAAAATTAAGCGCGAAAATAGCAGTCCAAACAAAACGCGTTGAGCGCGTCTATATTGTTTATTTTGAAAGCTCATTTAATCCTTATCAGCCATCGGCCTTCTATTTCTCTATTTCACTAATTGTTTGACATAAACAATTACAAAAACTTCGCACACATTATTATACTTTTACGCTATTCACAGCAATGTCTGACATGGATGTTGACCAAACCTCTTGTAAGCAGAAGGACAATCAAGATTTGATCAATCTTTTACAATGTATGCTCTTTAGTCGTTCACAGCAATCTTAATTAACAAGCTTTCGAGTTATCGTATGTTTATAGTGGGAACAGCGATGAGTAATAGCTCAAAGGCAGTTGAGGTTGGACAGTTGGAAGCAAAAGAAGACGAGTTGGATCACTTATTTGATAACCTGGATGATGTAGAAATCACAAAAGCTGAGAACCCATGGCAGACTAAAACCACGTCTCTTGAGCTATTCAGCGCAAAGTAAAGGACCTACCATTTAACGTTAAGATCTTTCTCGTAAGATAAAGATATTGTTTGAACCTAACTAGATAATTCACACTATTACTCGCTCCCTAGGGATTCTGGCATCGATCATTTGGCAGGAGACAGTCTTAGGCAATTCAAGCTTTTTTACCGTCATTTTTTTCCTGCAAAACCATATTTTCAATGGCTCAACTACAGTAACTGTAGGTGATATGTATGATCTCTCTGGTCCCTCTATTTTTATACCCATTGCAGCTGCTAAGCAGTATTTTATTCTATCTGTGGTTATGCGCCTCATCAGCACCTATTCCATCGAAGAATTTTATGAATCGGGAATTCTCATTCTTCCTCATGGACGAGACTTTTATGCGCTATCAATCCTTCAAGAGCCTGGACGAGCTCAAACAGGAACTGACACGTTTGTGTCCCACAAGAATTGATCTAGGAGCGGTTTACAATATTCGACCCAAGGACAAAAACATGGTCCGCTCTGGAGCACTGACTGCGGTCTCCAAGGAGTTGGTTTTTGATATTGATATGACAGATTATGATGAGATTAGGACCTGTTGCTCCGGAGGCGATGTCTGCACAAAGTGTTGGGAATTTATGACTGTGGCTATGAAAATCATTGATACGGCTTTGAGAGAAGACTTTGGATTCAAGCATCTGTTGTGGGTGTACTCAGGTCGCCGTGGTGTACATTGTTGGGTTGCGGATATGAGGGCAAGGGTAATGACTAATGATCAACGAAAGGCGATCGTGCAGTACCTAGAGGTTGTCAAAGTAAGGATGTCTCAATCATTGCGGACCAAATTGAATGCAGAGTTGGAGAACGGATGAAATGCAAGAGATGAGATGATGCAGCCTCCAAACTCATCACAATGAAACGTACCCATTTAATCTATAGGGTGGTGCACATCAAGTAAGAAAAGTCAAGTTACCAAGCACTCTTCATCCTTCTCTAAGGTAGGCATTTAAGAAAAAATCTTTTTGCATTTAATGAATGGCTTTTGATTTTCTCGTATGAAGTTTTTTTCACTCACATAGATTGTTTATTATGTTATGTCGATGGATAGTCGATCACGTAAAACTTTGGAAAATCATTTCCGGAACCTCATGTTTTCAAGTCAAGATATTTTGACAACTCCTAAGCAGTGGGAAAAAGTACTGGCTATTATCCCTGACCAGGCTATCCAGGACGAAATTCGAAAAGAATGGGAGAGTGCACCCACTCGCGCGCCTGCTGAAAAATGGGAGAACCTTAAGACTATTATTGACCAGAAGACAAACGTAAGAAAGTTATGAAAAAATGATAGATGGGATACCAATTAGAAGTAGTGAAGGCTATTGGCATTTATTGCTTTCATTAACTTTGTACGTTATAGGTGAAAAGTCCCTTGAGAGCTATTCATCTTGACATCATGTTTCAATACACGTATCCTCGACTGGATGATAAAGTCTCGATAGATATTCGACATTTGTTGAAGAGTCCGTTCTGTATCCACCCCAAAACAGGTATCGATGCTGCACTCTTAAGCCTAATAATCAACACACAGGTTTCACGTGGATTGCGGACGACCCAGCTGTTAACTTTTATTATTATAAATTTCTCATGCAATGTTCTAGGTCGCGTCTGTGTGCCTATTCCCATAGAAACGTGCGATAACTTTGATCCTACATCGGCGCCCACAGTACCACAACTTGTCAAGGAACTTAATGAATATGACGAAAGGCATCCCTCAAATGGGAATAGTCCCAAGCTTCAAGGTACTGAAGAGGCGATGAATATTTAATAAGATAAAAAAGAAGCCTACCGGTTTAAGAGTTCTAAGAAAAAAAAAAAAAAAAAAAAAAAAAAAAAAAAAACGATCATAGTTACGACCTATTTAGCTGATACATTGACGACCCCTTTCTTTTTGTTAGACTGGCAAAAGACATCGCTTCGTAAAGACGTAGAAGTATTCGAACAATTTGTGAAAGGGATCATGCACGATATCAGCGACAGAAAACGAGGTAAAAAAAAAAAAAAAAAAAAAAAAGGCATATGTTTAATTGAAGGCAACGAAAGTAGTCTGATTGTCCAAATTGTCATACTTTCTATACTCTATATTAGATGATGCGTCCAAATCACTTGAATTTTAAACGATGTCAGCAACAACTTTAAAATCCAATAAACATTTATTATAGTGTAGTCGAATAGTTTCTTAACGTCTTTCCCATGTTATAAACTTTAGGGCTGCTTTTATCAATTGGAAGCGTTCTTATCGGAATATTCTTTGTTTTTATAGAATTTGCTACGTGGATATTTGAATGATATGCGATAAAGCGTTTTGGAGTCATGGCTCAGGACTTTAAAAAGTCATGTCAGTCTCGTTGATAACGATTTTAGAATTCAATTTCATCATGTTAAGAAAAGCGCACAAGAGTAGATGAAATATGGGGGAAAATCAAGGACCAATTTTATGATCCTAATATTCACAGAATCAAAGCCTTCTTTAACTCTATGGAAAAGAACTGGCTTGCGAAAGAAAAGAGATTAAGATGGGTAGTTTTTGTGAAAGAGATAAGATAAACGGCGGCTATAAATGATTACCTCAATGAATCTAAGTTTCTGACACTCTAATTCATTTAATAGGATTACCAGCACGTATACACAAACAACCTTCTGGAGTCTTGGTTCAAGGCTTTGAAGGTATATGCGCTGGAAGGGAAGTGCGATTTACGAGTTGATTTCCTAATCTACAAATTGCAGGGGTCTATTGACCAGGACTTCAGGGCACAATATTTCAAGGTCAGAAATGGAATACAGCCTGCGGACGCTTTCTCAGTATGATCAAGAAAGACTGACGAGAGCAATGGCAGTAAATCCCGCGGACGCAAGGGCCATGGTATGCGAAAAGTTGGTCGAAAGAGAGGTATGTATCGGAGATTGACAATTTCATAAGGGTGATTGTATATGGATGGATTCTGATCATCCTTTCAATCCTTACAGTTCGTGGTAAAGTCGTCCGCAGATTCTGGAGTAGAATACTTCGTTGCCGCGGACGTGGAGAAGGGCCTTCTTCAGTCATGTTCATGCCCCGACTATGTCCGACATAGGATTCCTTGTAAGCACATGTATTTGGTGTCAAGAACCTACGACGATGTCGATGTTCAATATACCGCTGCCCCTTCGCGTATTGAACATCAGGACAAGCACGTAGAGCTCGACTTTGGGCCCTCTCCCGAGAGCTTCATCTTACCAGCTTTACTACGCCAGCTGAATGTGATGAGAGCAAAGAGAGGGAAGAAAAGAAGAGAGAGAGGGAAGAGGCCACTACCCAAGCGATCGAAGAGTATGAAGAAGAGTTTATGGGCCTGTGGAAGAAGCTGGGACGTATAGCATACAATAGGCAAAAATGAAGGTGCACATTGAAGGATATACAAGACTCAGTAGCAGATCTAAGTAATGTAATCGATACAATGATAGTGAGAGGTGTTCAAGAGTGAGTAAACTGTGCGAAAAGTAATAAATCAGCTGACCTCTTTGTTTTTGGGCCAAGATTGTGCTGCTCCCTGCTGACGTTGCCCCCCTCGATCCCGATCGTGAGAGCCTATCACCATTTTGTGGTACAAAAGCCTCGTGTGTGTTTTAATATATAATTCTGCAATTTTTTAGTCTTTTGACTTTTGATTTGTTTGCCCGAAAGCTGGAAGCACGACCCGAAATATCCGAAGAGTCTATTTGTCCAAAAAGATGCTGCCTTCGATAAACAGAACCCCAAATATTAAATTCTGATGCAAAAAAAAAAAAAAAAAAAAAAAAGTCTCGAGAACTCTTTTCTTACATTCTTTTTGGATATGATCCTCTATGTTCTGAGAGTCATCTTTCGGCCCTTCACTTTATCAACCTTACTGAATAGATCGAGTACATCTGATAAAGAATTCTCCGGGTCACTTTAGTTTAAATAAAACTATATGTAACGTGGGATGACCAATATGCAAATGAAGAGAGCACAATGCATTGGGTTGAGGCCATTAAAACATCAACAAAACAGAAAAGTCAGAGAGGAAGTTGAAAGAAGCTGTTCAACATTGTCCTTTGCCTTTTCCTTTCGTTAGCTGTTTTGATCCATTGTAGCGTTTCTTTCATTCATTCATTCATTTTTTTTTTTTTTTTTTTTTTTTAAAAAAAAAAAAAAAAAAAAAAAAGCTTGCCATATTCTTAAGAATCGCTACAATTGAAAGTTACTTGAATGTTCACAATAGATCACTTAGATCTTTCCTTTTTTTTTTTTTTTTTTTTTTTTTTTTTGCTCTTTTGACGTTCGAGATGGCTATGCTTGAGGACCAATGGTTCTTGGTTGGAAGATGATTGAGAGGCAATAGCCATTAGCACGTCTTTTTTTTTTTTTTTTTTTTTTTTTAATCCGTTGATCCAAAAAAAAAAAAAAAAAAAAAAAAAAAAAAGGAGCAATTGGGCTTTGTCGCAAAGGCTATTTTTTAACAGTCTGGCCAAGAGAGCACAACTGTGCAATGTGTGTCTATTGACAGGAGATGGAGGATTGGGATAGGTGCTAATGTCACTGTGGTCATGCCACTTACCACTACAATAAGAGCATCCAAGATGTGAATGCTCTTGGCGACATAAAACGTTCACCTTGACATTTTCCTGTTAAATAGCTATTATGACTATTGTTCATTCCTCCAATTGAGAGAATTGATACATCCATGAGGGTTTGTCCTGTCCAACTGAAAGGGAAGTTTCAATTTTTTTTTTTTTGTTCCGATGGTGTTAAGGAAGCACAATACAGTTCAATTAATTTCTGTGAGGCCAACAGGCTGTATAGCGACAGAAAAGTATAAAAATGAATGAATGTATCACAGTTTTGACAATTTGACAACCTTGATTCCCTTGATTCTTTGATGCCATTGCAGGGAGCAATGAGAGGTTTATCATTTGATTCTTAGCCTGGACCTTTTTGTTTGTTTTATACTCCTCCAGCGCAGCGCGGACCACCACACATCCCCTACATCTCTGTACCTCTGAATGGTCTTTTGTGTTCCTATTTCCATCTTGTTCACTGCGGATGTCTTCTTTTTCAATGATCCTATCCTACCAATCCCATCAATGTTATCTCTTCTTTCATTCTTCTTCATTCTTCTTTTCTTTCCTTGCTCTTCTCTCTTCCGTTCCCTCCATATTCCTTACACTCTAGACAACCAAATATTCATTCTCTTCCAAACGCTTTGAATCACTTATCCATTTCATCCCTCAATCCTTCTGCCATCGACTCCTTTAACTGCACCTGCAACATCGTCTTCCATTTACTTGCTCTGTTCGACTTACATTTGCACACACTCTCTCATACTTTGGTCAATTTCAATTTCAATTTCAATTTCAATTTCCCATTCATCCCATTCATCACACCTTCACAGCAGAGCTTCCAAAGCCGCTTCCAAACTTCAACTCTCTCTTGTTTTTTTTCTGCCTGTTGACTATGGCTGATTCCGCACCTCCGACTCTTGGCATTGCCCTTCCCCCAACATCAATGCTCAAGATCAGAGATGCTTGTCTTCCTTGTCGCAAGCAACGGTCCAAATGTGATGGCCAACCCTGTTGCGCAAGATGTGCTCGCCTCGATCTTGAATGCACTTATGTTGAGCTTGTCAAGGCTCCTGCCCCGATCCCAAAGGAACCTTGGCAAGAGTTTCTCAACACCACTGGTGCAAAACCCGAAGCATTGGAGAGCGCGCCTATTGAACTGCTCAAAGACCAATCTATAGGACCCCTACAGGATGCATCAACTTTTCCGTGGCAAAAGTCAAAAATGAGTAGACGCAGGAGGCAAACACCATCCATCAAAAAATGTACATGTCCAACGCCCCCAACAACGGTCGATACTGCTGGTCAGGACTCGTTCGATTCACAGGCAATATCTACTTCCACACAATCTCAGGCACATGATGGTGCGCCTTCAGACCCTGCAACAGAATCACCTTCCACCACATCTTCACCCGGATCAAAGAGGAGGGGACGATCGACCACAGGTCCTTGCCGTGTACACAATCCTCAGACCTCTTCAAAACCCTCTAGATCTGTTACACAAGGTGTATCCTCATCTGCTACTTCTAGCAGTCCGGGTAGCCAGGGTGTTGTAGGAAGTTCTGCAAGTCTTCGTCATCGACCTCCTCTGTCAAATGAACCTGTACAGCTTCCTACATCTGTCATTGAGACGTCTGAGAAAATCAACAATCTGAGCTCAAAGCTCACCCGTCTCTTCGTCTTTGCAGATGCAGATCAAGCCCAGGTACCACCACCGCCTCAGCTTGAGATCCTGCAATCGCGTTCACTTTCTCCTCTCCTGCAATCTCACCTTATTCAACTCTATCTCGCAGAATGTTTGCCTACACAACCAATTCTTGATGCACCGACGTTTATGGCTCAACTCGCAGAGCAGGAATTTTGCACGCCTCCACATCCGCTCTTAATCGCGGCCATGTGTGCGGCTGCAGCAAAATGTGTTGACGATGCAGATGTGGAACGACTTTGGGCTGAACAGGATCCACCGTTACCGAACCCCTTTAATCCGTTTTTTGCAAATGGGGAACCACATGTTCGGTCAACACGAGATATGATTTGGTCCATTGGAGATTATTTTGCAGCACTGGCAAAGGCATATCTCAGGACCGAGCTCCCCTTTGTACAATCGCCAGATCGCTCAGGAGGTATGGGGGACCCATTAACAGTAGTTCAAGGATTGATCATGATTTCCTCTTGGGATGCTTCTGTAGGTCGTCAGCGCGAATGTAGAGCCTGTGCTGCTCTAGCTCTTCGAATTATGATTGCAGGAGGATGGCATTTGATGGATCATCCTAATGGCGATGGGTGTACGGACAGCAGGATCAAAATGTGGGGAACCTTGGAACGCGAGCTGGCTCGCCGTTGCTGGTGGACTGTATGGATTGCTGAGAAGTGGACGGCCGCCATTTTGACTCAATATGTGGTATGTCGAGCGGCAATCATGTTCATAATTCGATTGAATTCGATTCGACAGTGATTGCTCTGCTGTATGTTCGTATTTGTATGTGATTCTTAATTATATGTTTGTCCTGCTAGTCAAGTTCTAAAAAAAATACAAAAACAAAAAAAAAACATCCTCGCGTTGGATTTTCAATGGTCACTAGACTCTTCACCTTTCACTTTGTGAGACGCTATCGCTTCCACGAGCATTTCGCCCAGGCGATGTGAACGACCAAAGAGGAGTGCTCTACTTTCAACAAGCAATTCAAGGAGCGTATTTGTGTGGAGCCATCATTCAGCTACATTACCATCCATTTGAGGCTGAGGATGGTACAGAATACGATCACGAAGCCAGTGCTCAAGACGTGCAACGACTGGAAGCACGTCTATTAGAGATCGATAACCATTTGGAAGCATGGCACAATGCCATTCCTCCTGTTTTGAAACCAGATTGGGGTCAAGGTATTGGAGACGATCCGGATAACACGACTGGATATGAGCCAGTAACTGGCTCGCAATTTTTCCATGCAGGGGGAGATTGGTGGTGGCGACATGCAATGGGCGGATTGCTCGAGATGAGCTACCTTGGGCGTAAGTATTATTTAGATGGGAATAGCACTTGTTGAGACTTTTTTTCAAGTTTGGATGTTAAGTACTAATGGATCGTTGATGTGCTATCATTAGTCAAGCTTTTACTTCATCAACCACAGCACGTAGTGTCCAAGGCACCTTCACCGCTTTCTCGATTAGCGTTAGCCCAGTATGCAAACAAAATCACATTAACATGTGAACGTATGTGGCAATACCCAACGACTCGGCCAGCGTTCTACCACATGGCGGGGATTGTCCTCTGGCTAGCGCTCTGCTATCAACAGGAAAACACTTTGAGTGACAATCCGCGCATTCGCACACCAGCCTGTGTCAACATGCAGAAAAGTTACTATCTAGTTAAAAAAGCTGGTCGACTCGTCCATTCGAACGAAGATGAGCCATTGACAGAACTTGAAACTACGAATGGACCTTCTGCTTCTCCCTCTGCATCTCCTTCTGTATGAAATTCCTGTTTCCTTCTTTTTTTTTTTTCTTTTCTTTTTATAACGAGTGCATGCATTTTAATTCTGTTTTATTTTTTACGCCTCCATAGAATGTTCCATTTATGCGTCCGACTGATGAGCAGCGCGTCAAACCAATGATGGCGGTTTTCAAAGAGATGTTTCCTATCATGCGTCAGGCTTTACGCGACAAGGGCTTCGGTCTACGCACGCAGCCTAAAGCTACATCCAAGGTCTCGCCATTCGTTTTGATTCAGAATCCAAGTAGCCCCTCAACTATTGATAATGCCCCTGGGGTTGACTCTCTTGGCTCCGCCTCCACTGTCTCGTCGATTTCAGTCAGTGCAGCATCAGTGATGGGTGCTACTACGGGGTCAGGACCTTCAAGTTTTTACTTGGCGCCTCTGACTCCTCCTGGCACGTCAACGTGTACAAACTCCCCTATGACGGAATCACTAGGATCGGTTCCGTCGCCTTCACCTCCACCATCATCGCTTGTTTCTGATGTTGCCCCAATACCTACGCCCGACTCAGGTCAAATGTATGTAGGGGCTATAGATTCCAACTTGCAACAGGTCCAACAGCCTCATCAATATCCACAGCATGCACAAGTTGCATTATTCCCTAGCCATACGTCTCCTTCTTCGTTGGCTCAACTTCAATTCACTAATAACAACCAGGTTCGGGTCCCACAGCAGCAGCAAATGTACCCATCATTACATCAAGAACATCAAGCCTTCCATGCGCAACACCACCACCAACAGCAACAACGGTCATTGCAGAGCCAGCAATCACAACACCTCCACCCATTTCATCTGGCTCAGGGCTTGTCGCAACCATCTACGCCTGTGGCGCTTCAACAACCCTTGCAGCACGCATCAACAACGAGCTTGACAGATCCATTGAACGCAATACTAAACATGAATTCAGATCCATTCAGCTCCATTATGCAGAACGAGCCTAATGTGCTGTCATCACTGATAGACTACTCCGAATGGCTTAACCATTCCTTGGAATAAAATAAAATAAATTTATTGCCATTTAGTCAAGTCACATGTTTTTTTTTTTACCCCAAACACGTCGTCTATGCAAACTTCACTACGCAAACACTTCCACCACTCACAGCAGCGCTAGCACTTTTGTAGGCATGACTCGGGATGATGACTATGACAGAGAGATGGATTCTAAAGGAGGAAGGCGAAGAGGTTCTTCAGCTTCCTCCGGTCAATCTACTCTCAATCATTTGCACACTATGAGTTATAACAACAACAATAGCAGCAATAACAGCAATAGTCATTATCATGCTGGCTATGATGCTAGCTTTTCTAATGCACGCTACAACAACAACCAGAATAATATTAACAATAACACTAACACTAACAATAACAATAACAATAACAATAACAATAACAATAACAATCATCATGACCGAATTCAGTACCATAGCAATAATGGCTATAATAATAATAGCAACTACATGTTCAATAATAATAATATCAACAACAACAGCGGCGGCAGCGGCAACAACATCAGCAACACTAATGACAATAGCGACAACAACAATTATAGACAACATGAGAATCCATTTCGGGACACTCATCCTTCTTACACGAAACATTCAGCCTACGACGACCAGAATAACAATAGTAATAAGCGAGTAAGTAAAGCAGTAACCATATTTATAAATCCTTATTTTTTCTTATTTTTCTAGTACATATAATGGATATGAGTAATTGGACATACCTCGCTTGATTCATATAGAAAATTGAATTCATTGTCGATCCTCTTTTTGAAATCCCTATGAAGGAAAGCAGATACATATGGCTAATGATATCTTGAATGATAACAACAATAACAATAATTCTAATAATAGTTACGAACTGCACTCCCACCGCAAGATGAGGTGCTTCGTGGAAATGGAAACGGAGCCTTCTCAAGGAAAGGATTTCAACACAGCCGACAACCGCACAGTCAACACCATAACCAGCAACATCACCAGCATCAAAATCATTCAAAGCATCAAATTGGATATGGAACCAATAATAGCAACTCTGGTGGTGGCAAAAAATTTCGAAACAACTTTAATAATGCCAATAACAACCAACATAGTCGCAATTTCATAACCAAAGTAGAGCGGGCTTCAGCTGGATATAGTCAGACTAATAATAACAGCCAAGATGCCAACCGTAATCGCAATGCCAATAACATTAACAATAACAAAAATAGAAATAATAGTGGCAACAACGACAACAATTACCGCCATGACCGTCATCACCCCTCGCGTCAGAATCGAGGAAACAGCGTAGGACAATTTTCTCCCGGCCCTTCCCATCGTGAGCGTGGCCATGAACACGGGCGTGATCGTTCGAGGAGTTTCAAGTCTCCAACGCCTGATATCCAGTCACGATCATCTAGAGAGCGCTCTTCCACTCCACAGTTTTCACCTGGCCGCCGTGATAGTTCGAGTCATAACCAGAGCCATGCCCAGAACCAGAATCACCTTGTTTATGCTCCTGGCTTTGGCTACGGTTTTGATGAGGATTATGGATATGATCAAGATTCGTCCAGTAGCGGTAATATCCACAATCAAGGTACAACATTGTTTGACGAGGATCGAAAGCGGAGGAGGAGTTCAGGCTCAAGGAGTGCTTCGCCAGGGTCATCTGCTCTACTTCGCTCTTCTACAATATCAGTAGATATGGACGATACAAAGGCTCAAGCGCTACAACAGGTAAAAAAGAGAAGTAGAACAAAGTTTTTTTTATCAAATGATTGGTCTATTGCTAATCAATAATAATATTATTATTGAACCATGGCAAACTATGCTCAATCAGAATAAGTCTTCCGATGCTATGCAAATGTCTATAAGCTCGTATCCAACAGTGGCACCGACGACAGCGACAGCGACAACATTAGCAACTTCTTTACCAGGAAACATTGATTTGACACCAGGATCAGCATTATCAACACTATTGAGTTCGCCGACATGGGCATCTACAATACCAACGCTCCTGCAGCAACTCCAGCAATTACACAATCAACAGCAACAAAAACAAGTAGCGCAACCGATGTCTATCACAGCACAGCAAACTACTTCTACATTACTCGCAACGCAAGGCCAAGGCCTTACTTCAACTCACTCGTCTTTCGCTGAAGGAGCCCCCAGAACCGGGTCAGAAGCAGCATCTGAGTCTACTCAGACATTATCTTCTTCATCACAATTGTTGTCACCATCAATATCAACAACACCACAGCAGTCTCCGCCACCTGATAAATATCAGTATACAATAGCATCTGCGTTGATTCCTTTAGCTACCAACACTACTACGGCCACGGTTGTGCTTGAAGATCAGTCTACGGCTAGTCAGCCTGGGACAATAGAGGAGGGAAGCCAAGGCGAACAACTCGGTGAAAGCAAAGCAGTCCCGATGCTGGTATTGGCAGCAAGCAGCAATAGAGTGGAAGCAATACACAATGCCTGCTTGACGGAACGTTCGTCCTCAGGCCCATCATCGGATTTCGCTGGGGATACGGTGATAATCAAGACAGAGGAAGGCAGCAGTCATAACCAAAAACTTGAGCGTTTAGAGCATCAAGTGAGCTCAAGTAGTGAGTTTCATGAAAAAAGTGCTAATATTAATACGGCCACGCTATTGAAGAGGATCGAGGGTCTGAACAAACATCTAGATGGGAATGCAGACGCAAATCTGGCTGTGAGCATGCCTGTCAAAATGGAGTCAATTATGAAGCCTTCTGAGACTATTGTGTATGCTGTTCCTTCCATCTCATCTTCAAGCCATCCCTATAAGCTGGACCAGGAGCATTTAGCGCCATCAACATCGACGGCAGCGGTGGCAAATACAGCGCCAAGTTCCTTATCATCATCATCTTTGTTGCCACCTGTGTGTACAACTGTATCCACATCTGAGCTCACCAGTTCAACTTTATCAGATCCGGCGACTACCATGCTTTTGGACACTATCCAACCAATTATATCACAGCCAGCAACCACTGATGTCCTAGAAGCGCAGCAATCACTGGAATCAAGAAGCAATACTGCATTAAGCGATAACACTATAATCAAACCTATCAAACCTAATAATATCGAGCTATCCCGAGAGTCTGTGGAGGGATCTTTAAACGATGCAGTGTCCGGAGCTGTAACAGGATCTACAAGTAGACTTACACTTAATCAGGATGTATTAGTAGGCGACATGGATGCAAATGTCATTGTTTCTAGGGATGTCTCTGCTGAAACCAAGTTTGGAACGAACAACACCCACGTGTCTGTGGACGCTTCGGATACGGAATTTCCCTCTGACGTCCCCTCCAAGGATCTGGCCGTAGGTCAGGTTGAACTGAACAATGTTGCGAGCCAACGAACGATTGGAATCCCATCAGAATCAACGAAAGGTCATACGGTGGAAGATTCAGGAGGTCCTAATAATGCATTAGCAATAACCCCTAAAACAAGGGATGGTTTGGAATGGGGCTTAACCATGAACGAACAGCAATCCCAGCAGACTGTTGGTGATCTCACTGAGGGGCCATTGGAACATAGTTTATCTGATACAGATCCATCAGAGGCAAACGGAATGTTGTCGCTAGATTCTTCTCAAACAATTGTTGAGGAGCAATCAATGTTAGAACAAGGTGTGGAAATGAGCATGAACAAACCTATTAGATCTAGCGTCACCAGCGCCACCTCTCCTCAGGAGACAGATACAGCAATCATAACTTTCAAGAAACATCAGTCAATTTCACCAGGGGCTGGTGTTGTAACAAGAACTGTCACTGACATCATCACTGATGCCGCAGATGAAAATGTCATGGAGGATTTGATCACTGTAACGGAACCTAAATTTGATACATTTGACTCGCTGCAAGGCTCTGAAACTGAGCAGTCAGTCTCAGCGAGCAAAAATGGCATCCACCTAGTAGATAAAAGAGAGGGTGCAGAAAAGACAGTCGTATCGGAGCCTGAAATGCGGTCTAATGACTGTGTTCGATCATATATCCATGACATTACAGAAAGCTTGAGTGACATGGATGTAGATGGTCCACAAACAGTTCCGAATGTCAGATCATCATCTTCTCCCGCTCCGGCCGGGACAATTGCCAAAAACGATGGCTGGGAAACTCATAGTCAGAGTAATGCTATTGACAAGATGAAGCAAAGGCGACGTTCTTCGACCTCTCCATGGTCTCAGATAGATATTACAGACCATGATAATGAACAGCGGCAGCAAAGATGTCCTCTCATGAGCTGGCACTACGTTCCCGGATCAGATATGGCTTTTTTGTCGGCCATGGCCGCAACGGATGCAGATCTGGAGCGCTTCAGACGCGAATCTAGATGGCTAGAAGAGCGCATCCGCCGGCCGAGGTGGGATAAGGACTCGGAACGTGTGTTGGACAAGTCGTTAGGGCTGACTAGGGATGTTCCACACCCATACTCACATCCACTCAAGGAACACCAAGAACAAGGTAGCGACCATCAAGACAGCAGCTACAATAATATTAATAGAGCCGGCACAGATGATGCCTCAGCAGCAAAAATGGCAGTAACTTCAGGGACCACATCTGCAGTTCGATTGAGCTCCAATTCACGGGTTGCGTTCTCTATGCTCAAGACCAATCTATTGTCAGATCTGGAAGAGCAATCGCGTCTGGAGGCGGATCAGCAGACGCTCCTCAAGGTACTAGACCGTGCTCGGGCTCAAATGGAGGATAAGAAGAAGCAGGCACAACAAATCGAGGAAAAGCTTCGGGGATTGTTGATGCGGCAAGCAGGTTTAGATCAAGAGTTGTTACGAGTTCGTAAGATGGAGAAGGATTGCTATGAAATTAGAGATCAACAGCGTATTCAGGCTGAGAAAGAGATTCAACAGCTTGAGGAGACATTGAGTTCTCTGCAGCAGCAACAACAACAGTCACAACAATAGAAACAACAGATGAAGGAAAGTAAGGAAAGTAAGGAAAGCGGTAGTAGTAGCTACCCGAGAACCAAGGTTCTATGTATTTGAATGGCATAGAAATGCCTGTTGTAAAGTAGAAATGATCCAGATAAACTTTTAAAAGAAAACACAGTACTTTTTTATTAACATTATACTATCATCATATTGATCAACGTTTTTTTTTTTTCTTTTTTTTTTGTTTTTGTTTTTGTTTTTGTTTTTGTTTTTTAAGTCACGAAAGAATGAGAATGAAAGAAATAAGAGGTGAATGGATTACTGATGATATGTGCCGTCATTGGAAACATATTGTGGGTTTCCTGGGACCGATTGTGTGATCTTTCCATAGTCTTGAGCATAGTACTGAGGTCCATGCTGTGAGGCTGTGGGTTTGACTGCTCCAGGAGTCGCCACAGAGGCCACGGTAGCATGAGGCGAAGGCTCGTAGACAGTGGCAGAATTTCCGGCAGTGAGTGTAGTGGTTGCAGGAGAACTTGCAGTGTAAGCATTAGACTGTCCAGGCATGGGCATAGGAATAGGAGGAGATGGGTATTGCTGTTGGTGCTGCTGTTGCTGTTGCTGTTGCTGTTGCTGTTGCTGTTGCTGTTGCTGTTGCTGTTGATATTGCTGCTGGAGTTGGTCCTGTGCGAGGCCAACAGTTGCAATGCCATCTTGAGGAGGAGTAGTGACCGTGGTAGGAATGCTAGCAGATTGATACTGTTGCTGTTGTTGATGATGCTGCTGTTGCTGGTCATAGTAAGGATCTACAGTTTGGAACTTGGGAGAAGGTGTAGGATGAGCAGGTGCAGGAGGGGGGACGACTGTTGGGTAAAATGCTTGTTGATTTGGCTGGTTGGGATCTGCATACACGCCAGGTTGCTGTTGAATATAATATCCAGACGCTGGGGATTGCTGCGAGACAAATTGCTGTTGCTGTGGGGGCTGAAGCTGTTGCTGAGGTTGGAACTGTTGTTGCTGAGGTTGGAACTGCTGTTGAGTATATGCAGGCTGCTGTTGGAATTGAGGTTGTGGCTGGAACTGCTGGACTTGTTGCATGGGAGGACTCTGAGCAAATTGATTCTGCTGAACTTGCTGTAAGGCTGGAGGAGGTGGTTGGCCTTGATATACATGCGTTGCTCCTCCAGGAGGGCCAGCACCAGCACCAGCTGCTGCTGTAGCTGCTGTGAGCTTGTCATTTTTGTTCTTTCTTCTGCTTCGGAAGACAAAGAACAAGGCCACGCCCAGAACAAGGGCAGCTACACCACATCCAATACCGATGTACAGGCCAGTTTTGCTACCTCCTTCACTATTGCTCTCATCTCCATCTCTACCATTTCTACTTCCACTGGGGCTAGTAGTGGACCGTGGGCTACTTCGAGTGGATGTAAAGGTGGGATTGTATGGATTGACTAAAAAGATTTAGTGGTCCAGGCCCAAAGGAGAACAACGAACACGTTTGATTTAAGATTTACGCCGAATGCATAAATAATCAGAAGCGAATTATAATAAGTGATATTAGCAGCTTTGCCAAAGATTGTCTAATTTTTTTTTTTTTTTTTTTTTTTTTGGTAGCAGGGCAATCAATAAAAACTTACCGTTCTGATTACTGTTGCAGGAGGCGACGTAGGTGGTAGGGGTCAACGCACCCTCTTGACCAGGGATAGTAATGATGCATGGATAACAGGTTTCTAATATAAAGTAATAAAATTTTCCAAGAATAAAATTCAGTAAAAGCACGACAATGCTTATTTTTTTATAGCACATCAAATGAGAAGACCTACTGTAGTGCTCAATGACATCCGCAGCGCAAATACAGGCCAGTGTGGCTGGACTCGAGGAGTTACTATGTTAGAGGAAAGACAAGAGACAAGTTGATATCAGAGAAAAGATGAAAGGTGGAGTGAAAGGGACTGTTCAGCAAGATAACAATAGATCCTCAATAAGCAACGTTGAATTGAATATGTCGATGGATATGTCAAGAGAGAGTAAGAGAGAAGTGAGAGAGGAGTGAGTGTGAGGAAAGATAGCCCTTACCCATGGGCATTGGTACATGTTGCAAAGTCAGTATAAAAGTCAGTGCAGTCAGTGAGGAAACAAGTTCCAGAAGACATGATGAGGATGTAGGGATGTAACGGATGAAAGATGAGAAGGATGAGGAGAATGAAGGAAAAAAAAAAAAAAAAAAGAAAAAACTGAGGAAGGGTTCCTGAGAAATAAACTAAAGTTGATTAATAGGTTAGAACTACTGTAGACCAGAGACAAACCCTGTGGGGCTTCCTTGGGTTCATTCACCCTTCGGTGGCAAACTGGAAGAGCTCACAATAAACACAACCTTTGTGTTCACAAAAAAGATTAAAAGACTCTTCCATGGAGAGGTTGATCGATGATGACCAACAAACTTTGTCTTGGATTGAGGCAGTGCTAGAGAAAAAAAAATCACTCAGGACTTTTGCTCTAACCAAATGTCGAGCATTGCCCCCCCCTACTCCGAAGGTGGTAACGGATAGCTTACTTGGGAATGGTCAGATACCGTGGCGTAAAAAAAAGAGGTTACAGATTAGAGCACGTGGCCTTCAATTTAATTAAAAAATAAATAAAATAAAATAAAATAAAATAAATAAACGGCAAAACATCCAAAACCGTCTTTTTGTCATGAACAATCATAGGGATGCCATGGCTTTTACATCCGATACGAAACAGAAGCAAGCCTATCTAGGCAACCAAGGATGCCTGGACACAGACATAGCACCAATTGAGCTGATATTGTCAGTACCCATGGGTCTCGAAGATGTAGCGGTGCACAAATTGCCCCCAGTGCTTGTCGAGACTGCCATCAAGATCAGATATCGAGTTGGATCTGGCTGTATAATTGTCAACATGGATACAAGTAGAATCAGCGTACAGATTATGAAAGTCATATTGGACCTAGTAGAGCATCCACCCCTCTGTGTCTTTGCAGTTTATGTTTCTATTGGTGAAATAACGATACCTCAGATCGTGTTTAACGATACACAAGAATTTTCAGCTTTTGTCAGGAATGGGTTCAGAACATCTACACATCACGAGCCTCTGGAGCATGATCAAAATCATTCTTCGGTGACTCAGGAAATGAAAGGCATGGACGCATTTGATCTGAAGCTACAATGGCAACATGGTCTTTCTGTACTCATGTCCATTCCCTCACCATTGGCAGCACGCTTAACAGCCATAAAGAGCACGTTTTTGAAACTGAATAGCAACGAGAGTACACGCGATCCCATCCGATTTAGAGCGTCTTTTGATCGTGGTGAAGTTCAACATAAAGGAGTTCGGTCTCAAGATATTGCAGCAGGTTTAGGAAATCTCATGAGCATGGCCTTTCCGTCCTGGAAAGTTGATCTGAAAGATTATGAAGTGGAAGCCGTAGGCAGATGGATACAAGAAGAATCGGAAGAAGTTGAGTTCAAAACTGATGTAGCAACAACAAAGGGGCGGCAACAAAATACATCCTCCATAGTTAAGGGCATGAGGATGCATGTTGGAATGGCTTTACCGCTAAAACTTTCAAGCTGCCCATATCGGTTTCGGCCCATGTGGGGACGTACAGCATTAAAGATTGAAATCGCATACTTACTCCTAGCGATGGCTGGCCCTAAGCCTGGAGATATAGTTATGGATTTTTGCTCAGGCATTGGCACTATCCCTATTGTGGGATCGATACATTATCCAGGATCGCTATTTGTGGGATCTGAATATTTGCAGATCAATGTTGATAAAGCAGCAGAGAACTCTAGAGGTATGCAAGAAAAAGTGAATCAAAAGTCGCAGACAGAGACAGGACTTCTAAGCAACGATATAATTGGGCCTGTTCTTTTTATTGGAGATGCAAGGGCTATTTGCTGGAGATCCGAGACAGTAGACTTGATTGTCAGTGGTATGTGTAGTAATGCTCCTGCGAAGGCTTTCCTCTTCCTTCAAAAAAGACTCCACTAATAATACCTATATATAATGATTGATAGATTTACCATGGGGTCAAAGAGAAAACTCACACGTGTACAATTGCAAGCTATACCCCCGAATGTTGCGAGAAATGATCCGTGTGCTCAAGACAAACGGCCGTGCATTACTGATCACAGGTGAACGCAAGCTGCTACAGAGACAACTGGATGCTCCTTTTGCAAAGTCATCTCTACAAATAGTGAATAAGAGAGAAGTTACGATAGGCTTCAAGGTAGTTGTCTTTGAGATCCTCCGCATTTAACCAAGAATTCCAGTGTTTTAAAAGAAAAAAAAATAGTTTCATTCCGAGACCGACATGCGTTGCCAAAAAAAATGTTTTAAACTGGTCATTCTTAACATTTATCCAATGCCTTCAGCCAACATTGACTGGCAAGCCAACATACCTCATCATTTGTGACATACCACTGTCAGCAAACCACTTTATTTCTTGGTTGACTTCCTCGTCAAGCTCGTCGCATCTCATTTTCTCTACCCTGAACAATCCATATTTTTTAAATAAAAGAAACCGTCTCGTCCTTAGGAAAACCTTAAACAAATGCTTTCAAAGATTTCCTCGTCCTTCCTTCACAGATCATTAGCGCTCTTGACAGAACAAGGGACTACTACCACAATAGATCAGGGCCATAAATCCCTCAATTCAACTCTATTCTCTTTGATCACTTCAGCTTCAGACGCGGCCCCAGGTTTTTCTTCCCATGTATCTTTCTCACCTAGCACAGCTTTCAACAGTACAGAGTCTGATTTTATTGAGCTGATAGACCGATCTCGGAGCAACCATCCACTGGTTACGGTCGCTAACTGGTTTAGTCTTATTGGATCACTGCTGATTATATTCCATGCTCCGATGGTCATGCAGCGGGTGCCAGCACAGCGAAAACGTATGGTGATTATCTTCCTCACTGCCGTCTCGAATTTTGGCTTTGCACTAGCTAACGTTATCACTGGTAAGGACAGGGATACCATACTTCATAATGTCCTTCTTTAACCCATAGAACAGATATAATATTTACCTTATTTTCGAGCATAGATTACACATCTGCATCAACGCGTGCTCAATGCACTGTGTCTGCTTGGTGTTATGTAAGGTTTTGACCGAAAGCTGGCCGTGATTTATAGAGCTTTATGATGAAAGTTAACGCTTTCGTCTTCTATTTTTTTTTTTTTTTTTTTTAATTTTCTACCACGAAATACTTAACAACCAGGTATTCTTTCAGCTATTGACATGTACACTTGTCATTTCCAGTACGTCTCGACTCTGCGGTGTGTTCTTGTTTACTGAGAGACGATCTATACCATTTAAATACATTGCAGTTTGCCCTCTGATCGCATTTGTTCTGGCCACAGCACCAGCTGCGACTAGGCACTTCAACTTTAATGAATGTGGGCACTATTGCTGGTTCACGACTACGCCAGGACAGACAGACTGCAAAGTTAGGTCATTTTGGGCATGGTTCTGCTTCTATGCCTGGATGATATTATTCTTGATATTTCTTTTCGGCTCCACACTGTTCGTAATGTTCAGGATAACACTCGCTGTGATACGTTTAAAAGCAGATCTCAACAAGATCGCATGCCAGGCACCTGACTATCTAATAAACAAAGACGCTTCTTCTCGCTCAACTTCAACTATGGAGAGGTTGCGGTCTATAAGTCAAAGCGTAAGAAGTAAAAGAATATCACTGCTCTCTAATACAAGTCGCCAAAGTAAATCAATTGAAAGTCAAGAACACGGTGTGCAAGAGCAAAGGCAAGAGGACAGGTGCGTAGAGGGCCTGAGTTTGTCGGGGACAGAGGTCGGGGCTCGTAATGATCAGAGGGACGAGCAAGGGCACGAGCAAATGGACGGCTCTTGCCGACACAGAAATTATATGATAACCAGCAATCCATCACCAACTTTTAATGGTAGCGACGATACCACTGTAGCACCAACTGTCACGATCACCGATATTGGTTCCTCAATTCAACATGGCCGTATCGTACCCTCAATAAGCCCTAATGGTGTCCAGCAAACAAGCCCACGAGGTATGGCTGCATTTCCCGTTAAGGATCGATCTTATCTGGCAGCACTTCTTCGTCAGGCGTTCTATCCAATATCGATCTCCGTCTCAGGATGTATCCAAATCTTTGTCGACTTGACTTTGTCGGATAGAAACCAGTACGACGGCGCATTGGATTATTTCGTGAATGTAGCGACGAGTATCCAAGGGTTTCTGTTCTTCATAGTCTTTATATTTGATCCTGCTGTGGTGCAAACGTATCAATATTGGCGGAAGTATCTGGTCTGGAAATACTACATTGAGTTTTATTACAGTCTAGGGATGCCATTCGAAGCACGTGAATTCCAGGAGCGATTCAGGGAAAAGTGCCAAACACTCAATCCACATGGCAATGACCCAAAAACTGACCAGCTGACTAAACCCCCTCCATATTCATGGTCGCTTCGGTGTGATGATTTGGCCACCCCTTCAGAATTCTATACTACATATCCATTTACCGTCACTTCAAACATGGATTCTATTTATAATGCCAGTCAAGCTCCACAAAGTGTAAACTATTGGACGGCTATGCGTAGCAACAAAGGATCAACAGATGAGAGCGTTAGTGGCGTTGGGAATCCTGTGTTTATTTCACCGGCAGGGGTGGTTCCGAAAAATGATAAAGCGTGTGTAGAGGATTTGTTTACAGATTCGGATGCGAAATATTCCTCATCCGTACCAGTCAAAAAGCAACATCAACAACAGTATGATAATAAGATTATGAAGAACACGGATTTCCCCCATACTTCCCCTGGCTTATTCTCTGACACAGCACTCTTGTCGCAAGCCCCTGGCATAGAGGATATCAGAGTACACCCTATGATGAAAACCAACATCGACAATGGATGTAGCACTTCGTATATTTCTCCATATCACGAGAGCAATGAAGCTACAGGGCAGGCGATGGGCCATAATACTACCAAATTCATACCGACTCCTGAAGAACAGCGGGGTTTATCATTAGCCAGGCCATTATTGCCGTATAGTTGTCCTAATCTCGGTCCCGACTATACTACCGTCAGCATACAAGAAGACCCCACTCTATCCTACTATTCAAGGGCGATCAACGATCCGACAGTCAATAATTTGTACGATAAAAATTTAAAACTTGATCTTGGTCCCCAAAGACCTCAATACAAACGCCGACGATCATCCGATATCTGTTCACATCAGCCAGGCGGAATAATTTCTCCTCCTAAACCCTCTAAAACATCGACTATTGGTGGGAATGATTGGGTCCCTGGTTGTGTTCGCTCTTCCAAGTCATCATCGGCAGACAGGGGGACTCTTCGTACAAGTGCTGATTTGACTATTAGCGGGGGATCCTTCAGCGTTCGAATTGGATCTTTCATACCCATTATTACATATGCGGCTAACTGTTCGATTCAAGAGAGATATCAGCAGCAGTTCCGATTCCCAAAATGGGCATATCTGATACATAGAGTTATTCGACGCATATTCATCCCATCCGAAGTAAGGATGCCACCGATTCCGAATCCTTTTGCAAAGGAGAGCCGAAGAGCAAGGGTACAGCATCAAGCGATGTTGGTGAGGAAACAGAGCGAGATTCATACCGTTCATGATCATCTGCGGTCACCTACAAATTCACAGCAGATGCGAAGAACGAGTGAAGTGGCCGAAAGCGACTTTATCACATTACCAGACCCAATTCATCCTAGAGGGTTGCCAAACAACTTTTAAATGTCAATAACAGAGGTGAATCTTATGTTGACAAAATTTGACTAAGAATCCGATTATGTGTTTATTATAACCGTGCTAATTTCTATATTGTATATCTGAGGGTCATAACAAAGGTGCATGACAAAGAAGAGATGGACAAGTATGAGTGCATTTAAAAGAGCGAGTACCATATTCTTGTTTCACGGGGAGCCATAATTAAGATGGAAACAAAATGTATGCGAAAACGACATGTTGCAAATAAAAAAGGGGTGTTGCAAACTATTTCACAAGCAGGCGTCATTCTGATAGATCAGTCTCTCTTTGAGATTGCTGGAGAGCCAAAGTTGAAGACGGAGCTCTGTAACTACTTGGGTTACAGCCTGCTGGCTATCTAGGCCTTTATCACAATATATGGGTGGACAGCAAGGTGAGTCTTGTGGAGCATTTCCTTCTCTTCCCTCTCTCCCCAAATGTCTTCCCGAGCACCTTTATATGCATACATTTTAAGCTTGATGTGGAGACAATGAGACATTGGGATGGGAAAATAACATCATTGGCTATCGTTATTTATGTGTTCGTCTTTTTTTTTTTTTTTTTTTTTCCACATTTGTAGAAAAATCCATACAGACGTCCAAAATTGAATACATAATACGTATCTCATATGGCATTCCCGTGTATAAATACCATCAAGGGTCCAGCCATTTTAGTTTCTTTATCACGTTTTAGTCCATTTCTGCTTGTTTATCATCAACGCTCCCACACCCCAGCCCTCACTACCCCCAGGACCAGTAGCAGAAGCAGTTGTGGTCGAATCCAACCCTTCTTGCTCGCAGCTTCACACACTCTTTCACTCACCCAATTCCTGACCTATCCTTCCCTTGCAATGTCATCAGCTACTGAAGCATTGGCACTCGCTAAATCAGAGTTAAACAACACTGTCAACCACAAAATCAAGGTTTTCATGCAAGTATATATCTAATGTCTGATTTCATTTGATTGTATATATATATTTTATATATTTTTTCCATTATATATCTGTGTGTGTTAAGTGTTGGAAATGAATTGGTAACAGGACTGAGAAACAAAAAAAAAAAATATGCATGGTCATTTCGTTTGAACATGATGTTCATGGTTATTTGATGAAATCGTTCATGCCATTTCAAACCTCTTTCCTCTTTTTTTTTTTTTTTTTTTTTTTCACCCCAAATGGTCTGTGTGCGCGACCAAGGATATATTTAATGCGTGAAGTCTGACTTGTTTGTATTTGTTTTTTTCAACTTTTCATCACCAGACCATGCCACTATGACTTAGCGCAGGTCGAGACCTGTGCGCCTTTTCTGGATAGATATGGGGGGGTAGTCTTTGTATACGATTGGAATGTAGCTAAAGAGACGATTACAGATTACTATCGTCGGCAATATCCAGATGGCTGGGTCAAGGTCATGTCATTCTCGCTCAGAAACATCCTAACCGCAATCAGGGATCTGGACCATCGTCTCGATCGATACGATAGCAACAACAGTGGTGATGAAGGATACGTCAGTACCACCGCCAGCCAAAGCAATAGTGCACACGCATCCACAATGCCTACAGCGACACCTATTAGAAATTACGGTGGTATTAGTAGCGCTAGAAGCAGTATCAGTAGTATAATGTATGAACCCAAAAAACAAAATCAAGTTGTCTTCTTGCTGACAGGATCCATGAATCCAGACTATGGTGCCTTTGGGTTGACTCAAAAGAAGATTCTGAATGCAGTGAAAGATGCGCTACCAGAGAGAGTTTGTGCAGTCAACATTATCGGACATTGCATGTATGGATGTGTCTCTTGTTCTGGTATCGAGCATAGGGTCCCACTCTACTTTACACGCTATTTTAACAAGACGTAAGTTTTCTGAAATGGTTTACTTTAGTGGGGTAGGAGAATAAGACTATGACCAGAAAAAGACAGGAAGCTGTGCTGTCTCACTTGGATACATAATCCTTATCATGGGGAGAGACCATGTATGACTATTTTCTAACATCACGCTTATACAAATGTCACATTGCGTTTAGATTACCCTACACTGCTGAGGATGTCCGAGCGCTCTATATTAACTCAAAGTCAGAATATACATCCAATAACACACGCGCTGTGCTCGTGGCTCCTTCCTGCGGCGGCACATCTATGATTGCTCAAAAACCCATCATTCAACTCTTTCACCGCCTAGAGCAAACAGGTCACTGGAAGTTTATTTGGAAGATGCACCCAAGCTCTTTGCAGTTGGACGGATATGATCTCGAAGACCAAACGGGGATTGAACAGAGAGAGCTCGAAAATGTTCAGTTTGTTCTAAAAAACTTCACGGTGACTCAGGATGAGCATGTATGCCTATTGCCGTTTATGGAGGCGTTTGATGTGATCATCACCGACCTACACTCGTCTGTTCCGTTCATTGCGACTTATTTCACACCCAAGATCATTCTTTCGTACTTTAATGATGCTGACTATGGGACACCAGAGAGACATCAGGAATTTATGGACCAATTGAACACGTTTGTGGAACCAGAGGAACTTGAAGAACTCCTGAACACGTTGCCCGAGCCGAAAGGTAACCCTGCATTCTTCCACAATCAATATGGGTATGTTGATGGAAAAGAAGATTTGAGGTTCGGAAACCTTGCAAAATGGCCCATTGAGCAGGTTGAGCCATCGCAATCGCTGCAATACAGGAAGGTTATGGCGGAGCTCGCGCTCGAATGGAAGAAAATCCATAAGGAAATGGCAGCAACGTTTGATGATCCCGAAGGCGCCAACAATGCTCTTGGATTCCCTGCCAAGTTCCCTTTGTTCGATGACGGGGATTCTTTAGATGTTCCACTGACCCTTCCTAGAGCTTTACCACGAGATCGCCGAGCAAATGGTATTGAGCTTCGCATCATGAGCTTCAATATCTGGAACGGTGGGCTATCTAGTGGCCATCCAATTGAGCAGACAGCGAACGCTATCCTTGCATCTGGAGCGGATGTAGTCGGACTTCAAGGTAAACCACTCAATCACCTATTCGCTACAAAGTGGGTACATCTGCCTGATTAGGTTTGTGCTGACCATAAGACTGTATCATTTATCTATTATTACAGAGTGCTCTACTGTTATTCTATCATCGGGCAGTAGGCGCTACATGCTCCCAGAGCTGATGAAACATCTTCCGGGATGGTATTATAGTGACCAAAAACTTCTCCCTAGTAGTACCGGCCCAAGGAACCCCTGGGGAATAGTGTCTAAATTCCCTATAGTCAATACGACCGAGAAGGGCTTCGGTGTGAAGATCCAATTGAACAATCCTCGTCATCCTGAATTTGAGCCTCCTTATCTAGCATTTTCAGAAAATAAGTATCCGCCAATTGAGCGCCCCCACCTCCCATTCAATAGTTCTGCAGTCCAACATTCAGCTAATACACGGTTCATGTACCTATTCAACTGTCACTTGTATTATTTCCCCTACCAACCCTTCCAACTGCTCAAGATTCCTTACGATTCGCAACCGTCCTTAGATACAGCTGAAGAGGCCATCCAGTCTTGTATCGACGCCCGAGGTAAGGAAATGGAGACCGTCCTAAATGAGATAAAACAAGTGGCGGAACAAGAGCCAGATGTGCCTATTTTTTTGACGGCGGACTTGAATGAGCCTAGTCATCTGGACTGGACACCACTCTCAGTCTTCGCGGGATTGCAACCCATGACAGTCAAATGGCCCGTGAGTGAATGGGCGTACAAGGCTGGCCTAGTGGATCTATGGCGAGCATACCAACATCTTTGCCACTTTGGGTCAGGATCAGGGTCAAGCTTGCCGCCCCACGGCCCCTCTAACCATACCGACGCCAATGCTTCCATTGAGCATGAGCATATTCATCATCATGATCCTCGCAACTGTACAAACCCTGATAGTCCTCATGGTCACAGTGACGTGGACGACAAAGATCCAGTCGATTTTGACAGGATTGAGCAACAGGTTATTGAACGTCCTGGATTTACATGGTCGGCTCTGACGAGTGAGTTGGATGGATCAGATCATTATGATCGTATCGATTACGTTTTCGGACTGAGCCGTGAGTCAAGTCCTATTGCCCTGAAGGATGTAGCCATCAAGATGGGTGAGGAAGTGAGCAGATTTGGAGAAAAGAACGATAGAACTTTCAAGCCATGGCCTTCGGATCACCGGGCTGTTATTGCTACAGTCATTGTGTAGAGAAAATGAAGATGATAAACTACGTTTATTACACATCGTTAACTGAAACCCTTCACCCTTCTCCCACCTTTTCAATAAACGGCCATCAATTTATTCAACGGGCCCGACTTTTTTTTTTTTTTTTTTTTTTTTTTTTTTTTGAAGGTACAACACAAGAAGACATGGAGAAAGCATGCAAACATACACTCACGAGCCACATACGAATAGACTATGAAATAGACGAGCTGAATTTTCCCATGCTAATGTGGGCTAGAATTTTGTTTTTTTTGCAGATTCTAAAAGGTCAATGGGGTATTTGATTGCAATATTATTTATTGGATTGTGAGAATTTATAGTACAATTACAGATTTACACTGCTCATGAATGTTTGGCTTTTGTTCTTGTTGTTTTTAAATGCTTTAGTGTAGTCATTCCGTACTGATTGTTGCTGTTTGCTGATTCCTTTTTTTTTTGCGGATCCTAATACTTTAGAATGATGTAGAAGGCATGGATGATACCTAAACATCATGAAAAGGAAGCGGATATACAAAAAAAAAAAATTCAATTAGTCCCAAGCAATATATTCAGTGAATTGGGGAGAATGACAGTGATGATAAAATCAAGAAAAAAAAAAAAAAAAGCGATCGATGACATACCGGGAATATAGCCAAGACAAGTCAAGAGGATGTTGATGAGGAAATCGCAACCACAGCCCCTCTCGAGCATGACGCCAAGAGGAGGAAGGATGACGGCGAAGATGAACTTGAAAATGTCAGAGCAGGTGAGAGCCATATTTGGATGTTGTGTTGTAGTTATAGTAGTAGAAAAAAGTTGTGGTAGTTGATGATATGTAGAACGTGAGAATGTGGAAAAGAAAAAAGAGTTGGTTTAATGGAAAATAGAGGTCTTTTTATACATGATGACCGCCAAGCATTGAGGTACCAAGATACAGTTACCCAAGATCAAGGTCTGTGCTTGCGCGAAATAAAATGTTCTGGCTGAATTTGCTGTCAAATTCTTGGCTTTGGCTCTCAGCAAATCGATTCATCCATGACATCTTTTGCAACCATTTGTTCCCTTCAGACTTCTTACCCTCTCCTTTTCAGGAAAAAGATGAAGAAAAGTAATTCCGCCTTTGATCTCTGTGTTTGTCATGCTCTCGTCATTGTCATCATTTATTTATACATTTTTTATTTTTATGTTCCTCGAATACCAAAATGGACATCTCAAGCGTCAAGCGTTTCCTTCTGCAAGTTGTATTCTTAATATCATTCGTTCTTAGTATGTACTACATGTACATAACTCTTACTGCTGTTTTCTTGTGATAAATAGTACCTAAAACGTGATGACACTTTTTTTTTGTAGACTTCATTTATACTGGGAGGAATAACTCTCCTCCGGACCAATTTACACAAACCGGAACAATAATGCTAAGGCTTGAGAGCATTGGGATCCTCTTCCCTCTTCGCCTCCTCCTTCACTCTAACTGAAATATACAGCATTTATTGTGTCCTGATGTTTCGGTCTCAGATCTCTTTTTACTTCATAGAGAATACGGCTGAAACTTTCTTTTTCATTTGAGACGTAAAAGAGGCCGTTTCTGAGCTGAGGGAGCCTACCTGTCACCACCGGCGTATTCATCAAGGGGAGGGTTATGCGTAAGAGAATCAACCCGATGGGATGATCTGGCCATGCGAAGTGCTCAGAACTCTTTTTTCTTATTTCAAATTGTTCATGCAGGTCCAAAAATGAGGGGGCTAAAAATAACTTTAATGTGTCATTGTCACAGCCACAGCCACAACTGTTGAGATGTGCTACAGCCAACTCTCTTGAACTCCAAATCTCCTTTTCTTTCAAGACATTTGACTTTGCCATATGATATACATATAAGAATATATAATTATCATCATTTCTATTGATATTATTTGTTATCGCCTTTGAGGCTTTTGTGTCTTGAGAATAAAACCAAGTTTACATGTCTCGAGCCATGCGGTCAATAATAAGGTGCCGCTCTTGTGATCGGATCTCGTGAGGAAGAGCTTGGAAGATCTATTGGTTTTTGAAAAAAAAAAAAAAAAAAAAAAAAATTAATCAATAGGCTTTTGGCAAAAATGCATTAACAAAAGCGCAGGTAATAGCACAACATACCATTTGATACTTGGCAACTGTATCCTTGTCATCACCTTCCAACAGCCGTAAAATGCAATCATGCAGTAGCCCATCGACGACTGGAGGATCAATAATACTAGGTGTTACAAATCTACGGAGCTGCAAAAGATTTTTAAACAACCCTATTGTCCTCCACAGGTATCGTTCACGTGCTTCTTGTCCTTCGCTGGTCAAAATATGCCGTGGCGTGAGAGGTTGTGCAGCCTCTGTAAATTGTGTTCTGTGATCTTCCGCTGTCTTTAGAATAGCCTTCTGAGTAGCTTCTAAAAGCTGAGCCATTTTATTGTCCTTTTTATCCACATGGTCCAAAAGCTGATCCAAAATTGCTTTGAGGCATTCTGTCTGCTTGGTAGAATACAAATCAACACCGCCTGCTGCGATGAACTGTGTAATCTTGGGACAAAGGCTCTTAGCAACGACCTTACCCAGCAACTCCTTGTCCATGTCTTCTTCGTCCTCTCCATCCTCATCCCGATCGCTCTCAGAATCGCTGTGCATATGTGATGATTTTTGAATGATAGTAAAGGAGGCCACTGATTTGTGCCACGACTGTTCTGGTATATATTGTTGAACGCGTAATGGATTCCAAAGACAAGTCTCTTGACGAACAAAAAAGTCGAATACAAGTGGTAATAAAAGCCCCCCATACGCCTTGCTGTAGTCCTTTGGATATTCAGTTTTCCAGGCTTGGAAATGTCGTTTAACAGCATCTATAGTTCGGAATTCTACGCCAACCTCCTTGAAGATATTGGTACGACGTTCTTCCAGGCCCATAACGGCCTCTCCTAAGTCTTGCTCATCTCCTGCGCCGAGCTCATCGTCTGTGGACAATCCATCATAGTTTTTGGCTCCATTCCGTGACGGAGACTTCTCATTTGTTTCATCATCAATCTCAGATCGTTTTCTCTGAGCTTGACGACGCGCCCGTTCGGCCCTCCGTCGTCTCCGAGCGCCATCTGGATCCGCTTTTATACTCCGTCCAAATTCATCAACCTCTGACTGCTCTCCATCCTTATCACCATTGCTCATATGTTCATCATCCTCCACCACATTCGCAAATTCTGCCAAATCATCCTTCATATCAAGAACTCTTCGCTCTACCACCAGTTTGGTGCGTTCTGAAAGCATGCTCCTGTACTCCCGTTCAATCGCTTCCAATTCGGGGAACTTTTCTTCAAAAAATGCAGCCAAGTTTCGGCAGTATGACCGCAGCTCTTGGAAGAATGTATAACGCTGACTCGCCTTTGACATCGCTTCCTCTGATTCTGCAGTCCGAAGCATAATGTCTGCTTCCTCACGGCGGATTTGATCTAGATGTCTCGTGTGTTGACTATGTCGACTCTTCAAATTGTCAATATGTCCTTGAAGTCGTTTTCTAACGCTAACAAGACTTGGGATTGGCGCCGCAGTGGGGACTAGGAACCAAAACATGGTATTAAAAAAGAGAAAAAAGAGATAGACAGATGGATAGTAATGAAAAGATGTGTATGTCTGGTTAGCGTAATGAAAAACTGATTTTTGTTAAAGCAACCAAACATCACTAATTATTCAGCCTTACATGCTACGCTCTTCAAAACAGGGGCATCCAATCCAGTCTTCTTGGTATCTTTTTTAACGATTCCTGCATTGCGAATCTGCTGCATCTCCCACTCTCTCGTTTCTAGTTCGTCTTCTCCATCCTCATCCCTAATGATAATAACAATATGAGTAAACGCATTGGCATCAAATTACATTCTTCGATAACAGGTGGCAAAGATATCTATCAAGGAAAAAATAATGTAACGGAAACGTACATGTTATCAATCAGCTCTTTCCTAGCTTCCCTCTTGATCTTCAAGGCCCTTCGTTCGGCTTTACTGCCCAGTGCAAGCTTGTCTCCCAAAATATTTTCGAGATCTAAGCCAAAATGGCCAAAGTGAACAATAAATTATGTTAGCATATTAAAATTTCATCCTTTAACAATAAGCGCTTCCAGAATATAAAGGCCGATCTTGGAGATTTTTTTTTTTTCCTACCTGCTTCACCATCGTCCATTTCGTCGTCTTCTTCTCTGATCAGCCTTGTATTCTTTTCCTCGATGATCTTACAGTAGACGAAACAATAAATAAAGTGTATTTAGGAAATGATATCGTAATACAAAACAAGCACATAAAAAAATGTTTTTTTTTTTCCTTTTCTCCCGACGTAATCAATATAATAAGATCTCGTACCCTATTATCATCGCCTCCTGTTAAAGAGATGAATTCTTCTTCATCATGATCATTCCTTAGGCGCATCTGTTCACGCTTCTTTTTTGCTAGATGAATTGCATGCGCATCCGGGATAATAGTAGGGCCTAAGAAGGAAAAAATTAAATAAAATAAAAATAAAAATACTTCAATAAATCAATTTAAGGGAGACTAGTAGATTCGAACAGCTCTTATATTAATACTCTTCATACATTTCATACCATACCTCCAAGAAGAGTTGGAAATTTTTCTTCCACAAGAGATTCACTAGTGGTTGTGTCAAAAATTCGACTGGATGGTGTAGCAGATTTAGTTGATTTCCGTAACTCTTCCAATGCTTCTTTACTATAAGAGGTCGTGTTCCCAACAGTTGCTCGACTGGCAATGGCGGGTTGATGCTCATGATGCTGATGTTGATTTAAATCTGCTCCATCTTCTGCTCTGCTTCCCCTGTTAAGGGCAAGCCTCCTACTAGCAGAGCTTTTTTTGACTTTGAATGTCTCTTCTGACTCCTAAATTTCGGAAAAGATTTTGCATCAATGTCAGTATTTTTTTTTTTTAGTACCTATTACTTTAGGTTGTGATGCGCATAAAGCCTAGCTTACTTGTTCTTCATCTCCAAAACTTAGAGCTGTACTAATGATTTTCTTCTTGGTCTTCTTAGACTTTGGAACAGATTCAGTAGTGTCTACAACTATGATGTATTTGTAACGTGAGAAATACAATCAGTCTTATCAAATAATATTAGAAACATAATCAAACAAAATAAAAGGTAATAGTTCATGTAGGGATAAAAGGCCAACTTATCGACATCTTGACTCTTTTTGGATTTTACCTGTTGTATCGGTGGTAGTAGCAGCAGCAACGGTTGCCACGGTTGAAGTGGGGCCGGTAGTGGTATCAGATGTATCTACTGCGACTATGTCCACGTCCTCGACATCGATTTTCTTACGGATGTTCCTGTTTTTCCGTGGTGTAAACATTTGAATTATGCTTCCTATGAGCGACCTGACTGTGGAGGTGTGAAATGCAACACATTCGAAAAGTGATCACCTCTCAACATGGGCGGCGCGGTGATATGTGGCTTAGCAATAAATTAGACACATATAAAAAAAAACCTGTCTTCGTCTGTCACAAGAAATTTGGAGTAAAAAAAGAATCCATAACTGATTAACTGATTGAACCTCTCCAAAAAAGGAAGAACACGAAGGTGATATAGACACTGGTGATGAGAGAACAATTTCAGTTAGAATATTGAAGATCATGACTGAAAAGCTACTTGAAAATCAGGAGCCTACCTCATTTAGAAAAAATTGGTTTTTTTTGAATAAAATTGAGCACTGTAGAGAGTGCCGAAGAGATCGGACCCAAGATAAAAATATCAGAAAGAAGTATCAGGAGTAAACGAATGTTCAAATTGTCGCGGTCATACTTTTACTTGTGCGGGTCAAGTGAGAGGAGAGCAAGCAATGTGTTCACTCAGATACCATGCCATTTTTCTAAAGGGGGCTACAAGGGATGGACAGGTTGGCCATGCGCAATGGTGATGACGTCGAACCATTTTTAAGAGTATAAAAACCTTGCCTATTCAACTTTTTTTTCTTCACACTTTTCTAATCCCATTCAAAAATCATTCATCCACAATCATGTCCTGGCAATCATACGTCGACGACCAGCTCATTAAAACCGGTTACGTCGCCAAGGGTGGTATCTATGGCCGAGAAGATGGCTCCCTCTGGGCCGCAAGCGAGGGCTTCAAAGTAATGAATTTAAAAGTCCTTTGTTAGTTCTCACAACTTTTTTAATCATCTAAAGAAGAGGAATCTTGTTAGATGAACATGTTTTAGTTTAGCACAACTGAATCAATTGTGTTCATCTGTTTCCTCATCTCAGGCTGTCAATTTGTTCTCTAACTTTTGTCCCTTTCTAATACCTCTTTCAAATATTCATTAGCCTAGCGCGGCTGAGATCCAGAGTGTCATTGCCGCCTTTAACAATCCTGCTGATATTCAGGCCAATGGTCTTTACCTTGAAGGCCATAAGTTCGTCTACCTGAGGGCAACCCCCGATGGAAGTATCCTTGCTCGTAGCGTAAGTCATTCGATCAATTATAGATCTCCTTTCTCTCTATTATCATTATCATTTTTATCTTTGACTGCTTCGCAACATGAGTTGACTGGCTTATTAAATGGTCGTCGAGCTGATGACTTGGTCAAACTTGGAGTGGCATAAGAGGCTTTTTTTTCCATTTTGTAGACATAAATCAATGGACAGGCAGACGGTATAGAGATACAGAGATGATCAAAAGCAGTGTACACGCGTTTCCAGTCTGGAAGCACGACATTAATAAGCATGCTATCCTGCATTGAGCACAGTGGGAAAAGGATATTACCTTTACCTTTGTCTATGAATAGCTTGTGCCCTCATGATATTTTGTTAGTTTTTAAATGAAGGAATCGCAGGAGAAGCTTTCGTCCGACTATCTCTACTGTTTAGATTCATTAAGAAAGTGCTTAATCTCTAGGTTTGTCAATACTAATCTTATTCTATGTCGAATTAACTAGGGTGCAACTGGTGTTTGCTGCGCTGGGACCCCAAAAACTGTTATTATTGGATACTATACTGAGGGCCAGGAGGCCGGTAATTGCAACGTCACTGTCGAACGTTTGGCTGATTACCTCAAGGCCAATGGTTTCGTACGTATCATATTTATTTGTAAAGCTCGGTATTCTTTTACTTGACTTCATTGCTAACACGCAATCTTTATGTTAACTTCTTGAATAAATTAGTAAACGATTCCTCATCGGATATTCCTAGCTCTTGTTCAGTTGACCTTTTTGCACATTGCACATGTGAAAAAAAAAAAAAAAAAAGCGTTTTCGCTGTTTTTATTTTATTTATATTTATTATACATCTTTCAATTATTGACTGATCGTTACAAATCATTCATAATGAAATAAACGAACAAAAATATACAAGCAGAACAGTAGTTTTATTCATCTTCCTCTTCCGCGTTGTCTTCGTCGTTTCCGTCTTCCTCCGTTTCCACATCATCATCTTCGTACTCGAAGTTATCATCGCCACCACATAACGCCTCAACTTGCTGTCTAAGATTGGGGTTATCTAAGGTCGAAGTTTCATTTATGATGTACTAATTATTAATATGCAACAGTTTTATACAGTTTAAATGTTTACTGAAAAAAAAAAAAGCATCTTACGAGGATCCAATGCCAATGCATGACTGAGTTTCTCTTTGGCAGCTTCCACACGCTCAAGGATCATATCCTCGTCCTCAATTAGACCCGTCGACATCAGATAGGCCTGTCCCAACTAATAAGTATAAATAAGTAATTTTTTAAATAAAAAGTTCAATGTCAGAAGTGTAAGTTTGAAAAGTTATAAAATTGGCAGCCAACTTTTTCCGTACAAGAAATAAGGGCAACGTACTGTTTCCAACGTCTTTGCATCGCCATCCTCGCCTTGCATATTCTCTGCCTTAACTAACATTTCAATTGCTCTTTCCAAAAGGCCCTTGGCTGGGTTCTCATCGCCTTCTGCCTGATTGTCGGCTGCTTTCGCTTTATTATAGAGAATAGATCCAAAGAGACTTAATGCATCTGCACTTGAATCTACTGCATCAGCCTTGTGCTTTTGTGCATCTTCTAAAAGCTCCAGAGCTCGATCAAAAGTCTTGCAAGCGAGCTCTGTTGAGCACAGATATGATTTTTTAAAAAAAAGGGCAGCAATTTGGTTATATGCGGATGAGAAATAAATGTATATATTATTATAAACATCTGATTTCTATACACAATACCTTGATTGAGCTTGGCGTCCAAAGTGTTACCATACTCATCTAACTCTTGTGCAGCGCGGATCGACTCCTGAGCAAACGTTGATTCAGATTCTGGGGGGTCCTCTTTCCGTTTCTTCAGTAGGCTCAACCCTTTATCAAAGTTTTCTAGTGCATTATCAATCAGGTTCATTTCTGTTTTGCCAATATGACCTGCGGTCTCGATCTGCTCTTCCGTTAGTTCATCCTCTTCAAGCTCCAATGTCTTCAATGCTTGACGCCTAATTTCTCCTGCCTGAGAGAGCTGAGCAATACCTAAACCGACCAATATATGTCCATTCTGATAGGCTGTCTTTTTGGCTAGTTCATCAAACATTCGGGTTCCATCCTCTAATACCTCCATCGAAGGAATATATCGACCCATCAGGACTACGCATGTTGCATGCTGGATCTTCGTCACCAGTACTTGTCTAGCCACATCCGTCTCATCATTAAGCTCAATATGTGTCTGTGTCTTTTCCAAAATCTCAAACTCATCAATAGCTCGGTCAAATAACGCCTTCGCTAGACGTGACAAACTTCTTGTCCCTGATGATCCTAAGGTCGATCCTGCTTCGACAGCTGCTACCTCATCACGTGCCATTTTGAATACCTCCATCGCAGTGGGTTTGATGTCGAAATGAAGAATGATTTCTCCCTCGGCACATCCTTCACATTCAGGATCTTCACAGTCCTCAGTATGCTCTATTTCTGTATCATTATCATTCTTACGAGATTTTTTAGCATTATGCCGAGAAAAAGAAACTGCTTCTCCTGCTTCCTCAAGCGATGAAGCCGTGCGCTTGAGTGCTGGCGAATCTGTAGGACCCATGTCTTGTCAGAATTGTACCAAGTGTATGTTTACGTAAAAGGAGGCAAGTTTTTTTTATAAGTGACTTGCTGGGAGCAGATCTCTTGAATCTATTGCACATGACTAATTAAGATTGGGTATTACGTTTAATATATTTACTTTGTACTCTAATCACTCATATTCATGATCAAAAAGAGCTTTCTCAGGCTCCAGCAAACCAGTGAGAAAGTCTTCTTAACTGTAGTTCACAACACATCTACAGACCTGGATTGCTGAATATTTTCCCTAACGCTTCGAGAAAAATTTTGAGCTCGAGAAATTAGTTCATCTCAGTCAGAGACCTCTCTGTCACAATGGTCAACAAGACGTAGCCTGTGCTTTGTCGTCGATACAGTCTGTTCAGTTATCATTTCGACAACCCACCTAGTTTAAAAGCATGAAAACCTTGACATCTCTATATCTTGTGTGCACCTTGACCAAGGCAAAAATGTATATACCACGAATGGTGCTTACTAATAGTCACCAGAAAGAGCTTTTAAAAGACTCGCATAGCTTCGGAGAGCTTAGCATATACATTATGGAAAAACCATTGCAGCGGAAAAGGACATATCGAGCCCAAATGTTCGATACGTGCAATCAATGAGTATGACAATGCTCTACTTGCCAATGCTATAATATTGTGTGCAAAGGCTACCATCCACTCAAAGTGATACATACTATTCTAGAGGACACATCGCCATTGACCCATTCCAGTTTTCCATCAACCATGCAGACAGTGAATATAACCTTCTAATCGCAAATGTATATGCCACATTTCTTTCCTTGAGCCGATACAAAAAAGAAAGACGCGTGCACAATAGCGACACGATCGACATCTAGAATACGCCGATCCTTCACATGTGGCAAGGTAAATATGCTTTATTGTAAGCAAATGTTAAAAAACAGAGAAATTGGGATGAACACTCTATCAGATTAACATGGGTGTATTATGCCTAACAATGCTGACCAGAACTATTGATACTATCGCGAGGAACCATTTAAAATAAAATGCGCAACTTCACACTCGCTGCAATCGCTACATTTGCTGCAAATGAATCGATATCCTTTGGTTACTTCACTTTGAGCAATCAATGGCCCTGCTCTAGGATTGTCGATCTTGGATTCCATTTCCAAACCTTCGCTCTCCATGTCTTTCAGCCTAAATTGCGTTGATGTCGCTTGCTTGGCCTTATGGCTTCCTTCTTGCAGCGTCGAACGCTGCTCCATATCATTAGTAGCTCCATGTTGCCCCAAAAGTTTTCTATTCGCTTCACCCAAACCAACAACACCTCTAATGTTTGTTTTATCAGCATTAAGAGCTGATTGCTTCGTGCTCCACTTCAAGCGGGTATGACATTGGCCATCTTCTCTCTTAGTAACTTGCCACACCCGAATAGAGCCGTCATCATATCCTGTCACCAGGAAACAACCTTCGTGGGAAACATTCCATGCAAGGCTCAAAACACACCCGCCTTCGAATGGGATAACATCCAAGCACTGACTTGACTCCGGGTCCCACAGTCGTATGGTCTTGTCATAACTGCATGAGGCAATGTACTGGCCATCACAAGAAAAAGATATGGCAATTATACGCCCGATGTGCCCTTGAAGCATATGCAACACGGCTCCTGATTCAGCATTCACTACACTAATTGGCCCTTTTTCACTTCCAATAACTACCAGTCGGCTAAATGGTGAAAATGCGATCTTTGCTGGACCATTCTTGAAGCCTGTTGCGCAACAGAGCTCGCCTGTCTCTGCACGTCGTAGTTGCAGTTTTGCAAGGCACTGGATAAATGCTATCTTTTGACTGTCAGGCGAATAAGCCAAATAGTGACCAACCAATCTCGTACTCTTTAGTTCATATAGGAGCTCTTCTGACTGCGTTGCCCATACTCTGATTTTGATGCCATCATAAGCGGCAATCTGATGAGCACTAGGTGAGAATGCTACACATTCCACGCATTTGCCATCCCTCTGCTGAATGCGTATGAGTTGTCCTGTTTGCATGTCCCACACACTCACTTTTCCGTTTTTGTGACCACAGACAATTTGATGGTCAATAGGCGAAGTATCGAATTCTAGGATATTATCGCTTTGGTTTTCTGGCTCCAAGATATAGGCAATCTGGCCCAACTGAGTATCCCAAAGGCAAACGCGTGCATCACTGTAACGGTTGCAAGAGGCAAGTAGTTGACCATCGGATGAATATTTGATGGCGTATGCTTGCCTTTGTAAAACATGAATACATTGTCCTGTCCAACTATCCCACACACGCACTGTACCACCCCGGCTGCATGAAGCTATGTGTTGTCCATTCGGTGAAAGCCTTATGTGGATGACTGATTTCGTGTGACCATATGAACCGTGGTTAAACTCTTGTGGTTGTGTGTCCCATAGACGTATGGTTCCATCTTTGCTGAATGATGCAATCTGATGGCTATTGGGTGAATATGCCAAACACCGTATAATATTTGAGTGGCCATAAAACGTGTTGGTCTGTTGTCCGGATCGAGCATCCCAAAGCCGTACAGTATTATCGCCGGCGCAAGTGGCTATCTGCTCTCCATTTGGCGAGTATTTCAAGTCGGTAATGAGGCCGTTATGAGCTGTAAGAGCATAAACGTCTTTCTTTGTTTGCATATTCCACTGAACCGCTTTAAACCCACCTAGGGAAGTGGCAAATTTCCCATCTGGAGAATATTGAGCACCCATGAGCGGAGGTTCATGCTTTAAGGCCCACTCCTTCTGGCCAGATCTAGCATCCCACACATTCAGCGAGTTGGGACCAAGGTCACGAGTGATGATTTCTTGACTGTTAGGAGAATATACGATGTTTTTAATCTCAAACTCAGAGCCTTGGAGCTTCAGCATCAGCTTCCTTGATGCCACATCCCATAGCTGCACCATTTTGTCTTCGCCTCCAGTTGCAAGTTGCTTTCCATCAGGTGAATATACCACGCTTGTCACCTCGCCAATATGTCCCTCTAATGTGTATTGGAGTATGCCAGAGCTGGCATCCCACACATGCACTAACCCGTCCTTGCTAGCTGACGCGAGATGGTCGCCACTTGGCGAGTATACTACACAATTAACAGTGCCAGCATGGCCCTCCAAGCTATGAACCACTGCGCCTGATGTTGTATCATATACAGGAATTGTATTGCTGTCATGCCAAATGGCAATGTGTCGGCTGTCTGGAGAATAGATAAAGTTGTACTCGCTCGCATTAACCTTCAAAGCCGTACGCTTCTCCCACGTCAGCGTATCATAAATGCTGACGTAGCCTTCCTTGGTTTGCCGTTCGTAGACAGCTGCAGCCAATGTCTTGCCATCAGGCGAATAGGATCCCTTGAAGACCTCTCCTTTTTCACGAAGAAGTGGCCATCCACCGAACTGAGCACCTGTCATCCTGGAGTCACTCAGGTCTGCTTCACGAAGCCAGCAGTTACGAAAGTTGACTTTCCTTAAATCCGCTCCTTGTAGTTGAGCACGCTCGAATATACCATGACTGAGATCGGCTCCTGGGATCTGGATGCCTCGCAAGTCTACTTCGGTGAATGGTTCCCCTGCCCGGACTAAGACCGTCATTGCATTAGCTGCTGCTATCCGCCACTTGCTGTCACGCTTCGAGAGTTCCACATACGCATAAAGCTGCTGCTTGAACTTTGCTTCCAGTCGGACACGGTCCTCCAAGAATTGAAGAATAGACGGCTCATTAATAAAGCTCCTCCATACCAAGGGTGACGTCTCGTCTGGGTCGGCTGAATTAACTTCTCCTTCAATCACATCGTTCGTTTCGGCTTCAAAACTGAATCCAGAACTGAAACTTTGTCGACGGTTAGTCAATGCTGCTGGTATTTCTCTATCGTTTGCGATCACATTCATCACTTTCTGTGGCTCAAACATCGCTCGTACCACACAGTACTCTAGAATAGACCGATGGACAAAGCGATACTGGTTGCCTGTGCGATTCATAGGTGATGCTTCTCGAAGGAGGTACTTCTCACTCTCCCTGCTAAAATACTCCTCTTTCCATGTACCCTTGTGCTTTGATGGAGAGTAGTCTACCACAGGATTCCCATCTTGGTTCTTATAAATTTCTACAGACAGGTCTGCCAAGTATCTGATCCCGTTCTGTGCGAATCCTTCATCACAAAGTATCCGGAACATCCTCTTATCTGATGCAGATATTTCTCCTAGTCGCTTCTTGCCTCGCTCGAGCCACAACTCAACGAACTGGTCATACAACATGACGCGCCTGATCTGTGTTTTAGAGATATCTTTATGCGGATCCACCATCCGTGGTAATACTTCCAGCGAGAGCGATAGTATGAATGGATTCTTCATAAGATCTTGTAGACTGGGTACCATCTTGAGTGCGCGCTGATAGTCCTCTACATGCCAAAGTAAGTCCACGGCAGCAACGTACTGTTTGATATAATCATCGACCTGACCCTCAGAGAATGGTACAATCATAGCTTCTTGGAACAACCCAGTATCGGCTTGGTGATTGCGATCCATAGGCTGGAAGCGATCCCGATAGTCTATTCCAAGATACTCGCTGCGGCAACTGATCACCATCTGACACGCCCATTCGCCAGGCTCATTGAGATCATTACTGACATACAGATTGTTGGTTTGCATGGCTTCATCGTATCCATCGCAGATTAAGATGAATGACCGAGTCATCTTCAGTTCCTTGATCTGCGCCTCAGTGAAATCGTACATTCGCAGCTGTTTAGCAACTATATCTTTGGTTGGGTTTTCGATACCCGGCAGGTTGATATATAATGGGATCCGACCATACTTCGGTTGATATGCCTCCCAGAGAGTCGATTCTAGAGTTTGATTGAATGTCGACTTGCCTGCTCCGGAATCACCTCGAACAAGCATTACTTTCTGATCGCTGTCCAGGAACCCTTTTACTTTGTCCATCAGCAAGAACAAATCAGTATCGCTCGCTTGGGGAGTTGCTTTGGCATACTGTTGGATGTAAAAGCTCTGTTTGTCGTCTCTGGCC